CCTGATTATCTGGTCTTCCTGATTTTCTTTCTGGATTTTACTTAGAAGAGTGCATGAACACTTCGGCACACATTCGCACAAGGGAACAGGTCTCATTGCATTCAATTGCATCCACAAGGCATTAGACTTAGTAAAATACTCATTAACAGTAAGATTACCTTGCGAACACTTGAAGATCTGGTTCTGAAGTTCTGCAATTCTATGTGGATCCACTTGTGAATATCTTCGTTTGAGAGTGCTCCAAATTTCTGCTGCATTTTCTATATACAGAACACTCTCCGCAATCGTGGCATTGAGAGACTTGAAGATCCACGAACAAACGATGTTATTACACCTCCTCCAAACTGCATAATTCGGATCCGATTCTCCAGGATTCATAATCGTTCCATCAACAAAGCCATACTTATTTTTGACCTCCAAAGCTATCTTCATTGACCTGCTCCAAGATGCATAGTTCAATTCGGATAGTGGTGGTGACACAAGGATGAGATTTGGATTCTCCGTAAAGTGTAAGTACATTGGATCGTTGAATTCATCAGAACGCTGAATGTGGCTATTGTTCATCGAATTTTGATTTTGATTCGAAGAGCCTCCCACTTGTCCAGTCTGATTCTCGTCGCCGATTTGATCTGCCATCGTTACCACTGCGGCATAGGATCGGTGACGCTCTGATACCATGTTGAGTTTAGCTTAATTCATGCTGTATGAAGAAGTGAGAACAGCAAAGTGCATATATCTTTCAATGTTTACAGTGGAGACGATCTAAGAAGAAAGTGAGTGTCAAAACTTATGAACTGAACACAGCTCATTATTTATACAAGAAAAAGAGAGGCAAAAGTAGTTATAACTAACTACTGAGAAAAGACTAAAAGGCCCTTAGGACAATAACACTAGAGTGATGATCAGCAGCCTTCTTCTTCTTCTGCACTTTAGACAAGCTTTATTTGCTTACTTTGTTAGATTCAACATAAAACCAACTCAAACAAATGAACCCTAGGTTGGGGTTCTTCCCCCTTATGCAATAATCACCTATTTAGCATCTAGATTGACAATATCTCCCTAGTCCGAGCCCAAAAACAGACTACTCACACTTCATAAGCATAAATAACAACAAAGCACAAGAAAATATCATAAACATTGCACAAAAGCTTAAGAAGAAGAGTAAGAAACTTCTCTATTGAAGATGAAGATTTTGTGGTTGAATCCCACTCCAATCCATGATTACAAGCTTTGTAGAAGAGTTATAGATGAAATACTACACTAATCTAAGCTAAGGAAATGAAAGGAAATGAAAGGAAATGAAAGGAAGTGAAAGATGTGTTTTTAGGTGGAAAAATCCCCTTAAAAGAGTCAAAAACGAGCTGAAAAATGTTGCAGAGGCCTGGCCACGGGTGTGGCCACGCCCTTGGCCACACCTGTGGCCAGAAAGGGCGTGTTTACTGCCCAGTGGCCATGGGGGTGGCCACGGCCGTGGCCACTAGGCAGTGACTTTTATGTGCACTGCGACTGTCTTCTAGGTACTTTTTCACCCCCTAAACGTTTGAATTAGCCTTTAGTGTTTGAATCAAAGTTGTAGCCCTTCAAGTTAGCTTTCCAATGATATAAAATTCACTTGGTTTGGACATTTATACGCAGAGATATGATCAAAAAACCGAGCAGTGGACGATTTGTGCAGAAATTTTAACTTCTTGCTCTTTTGCTCCACTTTTGTTTTGGTTTTCCCAAATGACTAAGACCATTGAAAGCACCATCCTAGACTCCTTTGGAAGTGTTGCATCCATCTCCATAGCTTCATATTTGGCTCTCATTGACTCCAAATTCATCCAAAATGCCTCAAAAGCACACAATTGCCTGCAACTCTACAATTTATGCATCAAAAGATATAAACAAAGGAATTAAGGCACTTCTTTGCATAAAATCAAAGTGTTTGTCACTCAAAATATGTCTATACAAGGGGTAAAAATATGGACATAAATACACTTATCAACTCTCCCACACTTAAACCTTTGTTTGTCCTCAAGCAAAAACAAGAAATAAATCACCATCCTAGCAATGAAATTGATCACACTCCCACTTTGCACAATCTATCAAACCACAATCCAACTTGTTACAACACAACTTGTTTCAAGAATCATTTTTGCATTCCACACAAGTTCCATTCTCAAGCCAATAACCAAGCACCAACATTATTAAAGTGTGTGAGGATCAAGTGTGCACAATACTAAGTTGAGATTATGCAAAACTTGGCTTTGAATGAGATTCCATAGGCTTGCCCTTCATACTCCCACTAGTTCAATTCTAAGATTGCATGCTAAGATCAAGTAGGTCTTTATTAGGCTTGTAATGGGGCTAAGGGTGAATGGCTAACAATAAAGGGGTATGGAAATAAAGAGTGAATTCCATTTTTGGTCCTACTGTTATAGGGGCGTTTCCAATTTCAGTCCACTTTAATTTTTTTTGCCACTTTACAACCACTATTATTGAATGTGTTCCACTTTTAGTCCACCGTTAATATTTTCGTCAAGAGGCCATATAATCAAAGGGTATTTTGGTCTTTTTATGTTTGTCTCTTCTCTTTTAATCCAGGCGCTTCGTCCTCCTCCTCCAATATTCGAAGATGGCTCTTCGAACAACGAGAATGGGAAGCCAAAGCTACATCGTTTCGTTCGTTCCAACATGGGCCGGCGAGGTTTCTTAGGTTTTAGGTTTAATGTTCTCATTTCTTTAGTCAAACATAGTCTTGGATGAGAAGAAAGGTCAAAATACCCCTAGATTACACGGCCTCTTGATGAAAATACTAACGGTGGGACTAAAAGTGGAACACATTCAATAATAGTGGTTATAAAGTGGCAAAAAAAGTTAAGGTGGACTAAAATTGGAAATGCTCCTATAATAGTAGGACCAAAAATGGAATTCACTCGGAAATAAACAAAGGAGAGAATTTCACATTTATTCACAATTGAGGCTAGAAGAGATATGACAACTATAAATTAAGGATCAATTTACAATGAAACACAAAGCAACACTCTAAAGAGGTGGGGGTTGAGTACAACTTTCAACACAAACTAGAGTCAATCTTCAAACTTTTATTCTTCTTCCTTTTTTTTTTTTTTTTTTTCTTTTTTCATTTTTCTCAATTCATCAATTTTTTTTTATACTTTTTTATCAATTTTCTCAACATCATTTTTTTTCTTCTCTTTTCAAATCAACAAACAACTTATTCTATAAACCAAGACCCCCACACTTAGACAAGAGTATCTAGAGGATTGCTAGCAAAATAAACTCCAATAAAAGTCTCTTATAAGAAAAAAGAACAAATGCTCAATTCTCTCAAGGGTGGAGGGAAACATTTTGGCTCGGGGTTAAGGGTTAAATGATGAGGGTTAACACAAGGAAAAACAATCACAATGAAGGAACAAGTGCTTAGCACTTATTAAACAAACACAAAAGGCTCAACGGGGACAACTAGCGGTAAACACATGTGTAAACGGTACGCTTGAAAGGCCCGGGCTAAACAAAAATGACCTAAATCATTTCTAAACATGCAAATCTTAGACTTCACTTGGAGAGTAATGAGGCAAGTTCTAGCAAAACAACCATGACCGGAATCTCACATAAGCCTTCACTAGCAAAGCATAACACACAAGATCAAGAATTTATTCATTTATTAAATGGTTAACAAGACAATTGGCAAGAGAATAGATCAATCATGTGTTATACCTCAAATCATCAATCACAAATTACACCGCAACAAGCACCACCAAATCAAACCACAAACCAACAAAGAGGGAGTGATCACAACTTTAAGCAAAGATGAGCAATTTACCCAACATAATGCACAATGACTCATCCAAGCAAGGTTTCAAAAAGTTTCAAAATTTCAAAATCTTTTTTTTCAATATTTTGTCCACCCCCCACACTTAGAAAATACATCGTCCTCGATGTAAAAGAAAATAAAGCACAAGGGGGAAATGGTAGCATAATAAGGACAAGTGAGAGCATGATATATCAAAAGTAAAAGTGTAAAGAAAAATAAAGAAGAAAGTAAAGTGCAATAAAATGAAAGATAACATGGGGTGCCTCCCATGAAGTGCTACGTTTAACGTCGCTAGCTCGACTTGACCTTTTGTGTTCAAGTGTATGAGGGATAGAAGAGATCCCAAACCACATTAGCCTCCTTTTCTTTGAATTTCGGCTCATTGAAGAGCTTCAACCTTTGCCCATTCACCATAAAAGGATCTCCCGACTTAGCCACAATTGAAACGGCGCCCGATGGGTAATGTTCCACTACTCGGAAAGGGCCCGACCACCTCGACTTGAGTTTACCGGGAAACAACTTGAGTCTTGAATTATAAAGTAACACTTGGTCACCCGGTTCAAAGTTCCTCCTCAAAATTCTCTTATCATGAAAGTACTTGGTCCTTGCCTTGTAGATCCTTGCATTCTCATAAGCATCCATCCGGAACTCCTCAAGCTCATTCAAGTGTAACAACCTCTTCTCTCTTGCCAAGTCCTCATCCAAATTCAACCTTGAAACTGCCCAATATGCCTTGTGTTCATACTCAACCGGCAAATGACATGACTTCCCGAACACAAGTTTAAATGGAGAAACACCAATAGGAGTCTTGAATGCGGTCCTTAGGGCCCATAATGCATCATCTAGCTTCAAAGACCAATCCTTTCTTGTTGGACTCACAACCTTTTCAAGAATAGATTTGATTTCCCTATTGGCCAACTCTACTTGCCCACAAGTTTGTGAATGGTAGGGCGTAGAGAGCCGGTGATGAATACCATATTTGAGAAGAAGTTTCTCCAAAAGCTTGTTGCAAAAATGTATGCCATTGTCGGTTATGAAAGCTCTTGACATGCCAAACCGGGAGAATATGTTCTTCTTGACAAACTTTAGCACGGTCTTTGAATCATTCCTCGGAGTTGCAATTGCTTCTACCCACTTTGACACATAATCCACCGCTACAAGGATATACTGAAGAAATTTGGGATTGATAAAGTTGGATTCATATCTTCAACCGAACCTCCTTGATTATTGCATTGATAAAGTTGGATTCATATCTTCAATATTCAAATAGAAAACAAAAATATAATGAAGAAATTTGGGATTGAATACATAAGGAGACTCAAAATGTGAAGTATATTATGTATATTCAACATAGAATGTGTGCTCTTTAATTTTATGTGATATTCAATTATTTGCAACGTCATATAGATGCCCAATGCAATATAAGTATGAATCATGGACAAATGAGATAGCATTCGTGTTCATTGGAACTAAACTGAAATAATAACTCAGTATAAAATTGTTCAAGCCAGGTGTAGTTTTATTCAATTTTAATTATGAATAAATAAAAATAAAATTAGTTATGATCCATGTTATCCAATCGCACATAATTGATCGCAAAAGTTAAGAATTGTTTGAAGAAAATAATAATGAGAAAGCAATACCGGTTAGTGATACATTGTTAATCCCATCTCCACATTTTTTTTTTATTTTTGGAAAAATTTGTTAGAAATATAATGTCATTATAAGATATTGAAAAGATATAACATATGGGTTCAAGTCAAAGGACTAAAAGAGAACCCTCTCAAATAAATCAAATGCGCAATAGCACATGATTGCTCACAAAAATTAAGAATTATTCAAAGAAAATAATGAGAAAGTAATACCATACCCGTTGGTAATGCCTTGCAAATCCCATCCTGACATATCTGCAACTTTAGTCAGAGCATCTCTCCAATTTTGTACTTTATCACCTTTCCCAAAACGTTCTTCGTGCTTTGCAAAAGCCAAGCCATAGTTCCCACTTTGTTTACGCACTTGAGAAGGATCAACATCGTAAAAAATGGGAAAAACTATTTGTTTTCCCTTCTCCTTACACTCCACAATTTGCAAAACTTCATCAAGGCACCACCTAGAGGATGCATAGTCTTTTGAGAAGACTATCATAGAGATTTTTGAATTTTGAATTGCTCTAGTGAGCTCAGGAGCAAGATATTCACCCTTTCTGAGTTCTTCGTCGTCTCTAAATGTGCGGATTCCAGTTTGACACAGCGCAGAATAAAGATGATCAGTGAAAGTTTTGCGTGTATCCTCACCTCTGAAGCTCAAGAACACATCGTATTCCCAAGCAAAAGATTCATGAGCGATTGGGGGTGTTGCGATTGAAGACTTGAATTTATAGAGAGAAATTGTAAAGTAGATGAGAAATGACAAAAGGAAAGAGGAATGAAAATGCTTATCATTTACGTGGAAATTTCCTGGGTTGAAAAGTCCAATTGGCTTGAGACAAATTATTATATGGATCATAGCTCATATAAATTTAAAATAAAATATAAAAAAAAAAAATCACCTCTTCGGCTCTTCTTCTACTATGTCCGGCGGCCGCCGCCTCTGCTTGCTTAGCGGAGGCGGCGTCTACTCCTCTTCTCCATCGCCTTTCTTGCCTCCCCACCGCCTTCGTTTTTCCCACTGTCGCCGTCTTTTATTTCCCCTCCCCTGTTGTTGCCATCGCCCTCTTTCCCTTCCCTTCCCTTCCGCCACCGCCTCTTCTCCGGCTCTCCTCCACCATCTTCAGAAAAGCTTCATTCTCAAAAATAAAAGTAATATTTATATCCGTTGTTCTTGATTTGCAGATGGGTTGCCATCTTTGACACCCACTTTTGTTTTGTTTATTTGTCTTGTTGTTCTAGACAAACAAATAGACTTACCACCCTTTGAACAATCAATTAGGTGTACAAGATTAAACACAAAGGGAATGGGACTATTGAAAGATACAAGGCAAGATAGTAGCTAAGGGTACACTCAAATTCCCAAATTGAATTACTTGGATACCTTTAGCCCAGTGGCTAAGGTCACTAGGATCGGAGTTTTGTTAGCCCAAATAAAATTCAAATAAAGCATATCAAGCAGCATTTGCAAGTTCATTTCCAAATAAAGGACTTAAGTTCTTTTTAGGACTAGAAGTTGCCAGAAATCACAAAGGCATAAGCATTAATAAAAGAAAGTATGCATTAAAATTACTTGGCATCACATGTTTTTTACATTACAAACCTGCCAAAACCCCTAAGTTGCCCTGCCTCTATCAAGCTAAGCAAACACAATGGAAGTGCTTTGGACGATATCACTCAATATAGAAGATTTATTGAAAAATTTCTATATCTCACCATTACAAGACCAGACATCAGTTTTGCTACATAACAGTTATCTCAGTTTCTAGATTGTAAGAGCCTTACAGACATACATTTACAAGCTGCACATAGACTCCTAAGATATATCAAATAAGCTCCGGCTCAAGGCATATTCTTTCCAACTCGATCCACACTCCAACTAAAAGGGTTCACTAACTCTGACTGGGCAGCTTGTCCCGACACTAGGGGATTTAGCTATCACAGGGTTCTGCATCTTCTTAGATACTGCTTTGGTGTCATTGAGGTCTAAGAAGCAAGTAACAGTTTACTTGTGAAATACAATGGATAACCTATTTACTTGAATCCTCGGAAGTTGATGTTCACGGCTAAGCTCTCTTATTCTCGGACAGCAAGTCTGCTATTTCCAAAGCAGAAAATTCAGCGTTCCATGAAAGCAGATAATATCCCCAAAAGCTCAATTCTAGCTTCCGAATCATAAGCCTCCATCTGTAATGGCCATATTGCAAGCAGATAATATGCCCTACATTTCCCGTTTAAGTAGAAGAGAATGTGAATAACACAATGGATTTTGAAAGGATTACAAAATAGATGACAATCATTAAATGACTTTCCACAATACACGAAGGCATTTAAAAAAAAAAAAAACTACTTCAACTGTATGATTCATCTGATTAAAAGGCAGTGTAAGGATGCCTACCAAATTCGAACAAACTACTACAACTTGCTTCTCCAGGGGAGCCCCTGCATGAAAGTATGAAGAAAAGATAAGAATTTACACTAATTGCTCTTATACACCCACTGCAAAATACAAACACAATTGAAACACAACCACTTTGAGTTGTTTTATTACTTATCATAGACCAACTCAAATAAATTAATATTAATATTTCTACTAATTAGAGAATTATTAGCTACAGATAACAGCAGCATTGGAACACCTTACAAGAAATCAAAATATAAATCTTCCTGTATGTACAAAGTTCTAAATTCTGGGGTTCACATATTATAGTGAACAATTAGGAAAGACAAACACTAAAATTAGGCGGCGTAAATTGGGCACTAATTTTCTGTGGAGTACAACATCACTATGGGGTCTAATATTAGTCAATGCAGTGGCATTTTACAGAGACAAGGATCAGTACCTCAAATATGACCATTTCAAAAACCCAAAAAAAAAAAAAAAAGAGAGAGAGACGACAAGATACCTTAGGATGGAAATTTCATTGCAGAAATCCTCCATGTTTTCAGCAGTCGAATCTTGCTCCAAGAAAACTTTGATTGCAACTTTGATTGAGAGGAATTAAACAGTAACAGTAAAATGACAAAAATAAATAAATGGCCTGAATGTTTTTACCCAGACTTGCAGGTGAATCTATTTTGGCTTCCTAGGCATATCTATAGATAATGTTTCTTAGTGCTTTGAGAAAGAATTTGAAAGATTGGATAAAAAATCATAGTTCACAGTGGTTAAGTTTACACCACTGAAAGAACACTACACACACATATTCTTCAATCATCATACCTACTGTAAGATATCTGTGCTGCCAATAATACCAGTTTCTTCTCTTTTCTTCCATCTGCACTCCAGAACTTTCTTCTCTGACAGATCTTTCTTTTTGACATCCAATCCAACTGGGAATTTCATTATAGGTAAGAATACAATCAAAACAACGATTGGAATTTATGATTCATATAAAAATCTGTGAAAGGAAATCAATAATTAATATAGAGGATGACTCAAATTAAAGAGAGAAAAACAATACATATGTACCTCCTTAATACTTTACGAGAAATAATCGGTATGGGGAACACCTCCTAATCTCATTGTCCATATGGAATGAAGATTCTCCCAACCTTGAAAGTCTTTCAACTTTTTGCAACCAGAGAAATGCAAGTGACACAACCTAGTACAAGGCACGTGTACTAAATTAACCATGTACCACACCCTCAACGCACTTTGCATTAAGCACAAAAGAAGAGTGCTCCAGTCACTTCACTCTGCTCTGTTCTGTCCAACATCTACCATCATCGAGCACAACATGAACAAAAAAATCTTTTTGGGTCTGATATTTGGCGCTTCCAGAAATTCTTCTTCTTCTTCAGTGTTCTAGCTACCCAACTTTAGTGAGGGGTAGAAGTTGTAGGGAGCCATCTTTATCTCTGTATAATGCTTCAACTCCTATTTTCTTCACCACACTTGCTTCAACTCTTATTTTCTTCACCAAACATGGTTCACCGAATGATCTAATCCTATCTCTGTAGAATCCTTCATAAACTTCAGTTATAGGTGTAGCTTTGAAGACTTCTCCAGCTTTTATATCTCTATACCCATAAAAATCGTAAAGATCATTAGGTGTAATGACATGTAAAAATGAAATTCCTTCCACTTCTAATTGGATCCCATGATAATTATACCATGTATGTAGGAAGCCTTTGAAATCATGCTTTTCAATTCTGATGTCATAATGACAATAAAGTGGTGGGAGTAGTGGAGCCGGATTGAACACAACCAAAAAAACAAATCCATAAAATTCCAATGTATGATTGGATGATGGATATTGAAATGATATTGACGATTTTTCTTTCTGACATCTAATCCAACTAGGAATTTCATTACAAGCAAGAAGACCATTGGAATTCATGGAGCGCTTTAAAACCTGTGAAATTAAAAGAAATCAAACATACGTGACAATAGTAAGAATTAATGGATAGAAACTACATAGCACTAAAATTTTGTCGATAATATAATTAATATAATAGATGACATCAATTGAAGATCGGGAAAAACATATATGTACCTCCTTAATGCTTTCTGAGAAATCGGTATGGGGAACACCTCCAAACCCCATTGTCCTTATGGAATGAAGATTCTCCCAACCTTTAAACTCCTTCAACTTTTTGCAATTGATGAGATGCAAATGAAGCAAACCCGTACAATTTGATAAGTTTGATACTTTTTCAATCAACTCACAATTTTGAACCCTAAGATCTTGAAGTTTTGGAGGAAGTTCTGGGAGCAATTTCAGGTTTTGGCAATCATTTACGTAGACTCTAGTAACATTGGGAGGAAATTTTGGAAGCATTTTAAGGTTTTTGCAACTACATAGATCAATTTTATAAAGATCTAGAGGAAGTTCTGGGAGCATTTTAAGATCCTTGCACCTATATAATCTAATTTTTCTAAGAGTGGGAGGAAGTTCTGGGAACATTTTTAAGTTTATCCAATCATCTAACCTAATTTCAGAAAGATTGGGAGGAAGTTCTGGAAGCCTTTCAAATTTTTCACAACCACCTAAAAAAATCTCCCTAAGATTGGGAGGAAATTCTGTCAGCATTTTAATATTTTTACAACTAGATAATCTAATTGTCTTAAGTTTGAGAGGAAGTTTTGGGAGCATTACAAGATTTTCACAACCATCTAAAGTAATTTTCTCAAGATTTGGAGGAAGTTTTGGAAGCATTTTAAGACTTGTGCAACTATCTAAAGAAATAATCCTAAGGTTAAGTGGAAGCTCTTGGATCATTTTTAGATTGTCACAATGATACAATTGGAGCAGTTCAACAGTGTGAGGAAGTTGTTGGAGTACTTGTTGGTTCTTGCAGAAATTCGACCAAATTGATTTAAGGTTGAACAAATGAGACAGGTTGGAGACCACCCCATAAGTACTGGTACGGTCAAGACTTAGTCTTTGTAATGAGGTTAAATTTCCAAAAATTTCAGGGGATACTTTAAGTTCTAACGAACCGAACATATGAAGAGTTTGCAGTGACTGCAAATGGCTGACGTTCTTTGGAAGTTTCTTTAACTTTTGACAGTCACCAAAACATAAAGAAACTAATTTCCCCAATTCTCCGATGGAAGAATGCACCTTTAACAAATTTGAGCATCCCAAAAATGATAACTTACGAAGATTTTGACAGCCACTAAAGTTCGGAGTCCTTGTGAGATGTTCGCACCAAGACAAATCCAACGACTCGAGACAAGGAAAATACTGTTTTGATCAATTCAATAAACAAAAAGCAACAGAAATTAAAAACATATATTGAATTATAATTTATTATCTTTAACTATTTTGCTATAACAATGAGTTATAGATAAAAATAAAATATTATCGAATTACCTTTAGAGGGGCTTTAAATTCTTTGATGTTGCTATTCCCAATTTCCAAACTCACAAGCTTCTCAAAAAAACCATTTGATGGAAAATTGATAGATTTCAAAGGGCAATGATTCCATTGCAAACATCTAAGCACCTTGGAACTGGATAGATGTTTGAATTTTCCATCAAGATGGACTTCATCAATTTCAAGAATTCTTAAATTCTCCATGTTCTTAAATGCTTTTGTATTGTACTTCACATTTTTCATAGGAGAATAGTTGAATACAATCACCTCAATCTTTTTTGTACCCTACACATAAAAAGTAAAATTAGTTAAACAAACACATAGGCTATTTTTGTATGGTAAATAAATGACTATTTTAAGAGAACACCAATTTAGTGTATACAAATCTTTAGAGGGTTTTTGCTAGCAAAATATGGTTTATATTCTTTAGATTAAATTCCACTAAAATGTACTTTGAGTTTGAGGTATTACTAGTTTTGGTTCTTAACTTACAAGTCTACCATACTAAGTCCTACAATTCTTTAAAACTACCAATAATAGTCCTCTGAGTTTGAGATGCTACTAGCTTTAGTCCTCAACTTATAAGCCTAGCTACCATAATAAGTTCCTCAACTTCTCTAAAACTACTTAGTACGCTTGTAAGTTGAGGGCCAAAGTTGGTAGTGCATCAAACTCATATGACCATTAGTAGAATTTGGACAATTAGTGGTAGTTTTAGAGAATTTGGTCTGGATGACTTATTGTGGTAGGCTTGTAAGTTGAGGACCAAAGCTGGTAATGTTTCAAACTCAACTGACCTCTGGTGAAATTTACTCTATTCTTTACAAGTAAACAATGGATAAAATAAACCTAAAGTGAAGTACACAAAATTTAGAAAATCTAACACATTTATGCATTGAGGCTCGACAAATAATATAAAATCATTAGTCTGTGTCATGTTAATCACTTAATCCCATAAGATATTATCAAGAACATAATTTGTGGTAAATAAATAGCTATTATTATTTTCATAAGAGGTATAAAATCTCTTCATTTTGATATGAAATACTCCGTAGTAACCTTAGGTGATGTAAGATTTATGCATAATAATTGAGAATGAAACAAATTTAAAAATCATTACCTTTTCTCCTATAAGCACATCATGGATATCATAAGGACACCACAATCGACTACGCTCACCAGGATTGTAGCGTGACTCCGAACGAATAATTTCTCTCCCCATCTCTCGTATTAAGCTATGCATACTAATCCCAATCCACTCACAATTTATCAAGCATTTGTCAACCAAGTCTTGAATTTCAATGTCTGAGAAATATCCCATGTTATCAATTTTCTCCTTAGAAACTCCATTGGAGAAACAAACAAGATCAAGAAAAAGAGATTTTATATGATCATCTGGAAGACCATCATAACTAATCTTAAGTTTAGCTTGAATGTCATTATGAGGAATTCCTTTCAATTTTTCTAAAGTACTAATCCACTCCTTTTGCGATTTATGACACAGATAGGCCCCTAAAACTTCAAGAGCTAATGGAAGTCCATCACAATAATCAACTATGCCATTGAGAAGCTTATTATAATCTTGTTTTTGCAACGCATGCTCTCCAAATGCATGTAGGCTAAACAGCTGCAAAGACTCCTCATGGTTCAATACCTTAACTTCATAGTGTTCATCCACAATCAACTCTTTAAAAACATGTGCCTCTCTTGTGGTTAAAATTAGTGTACTTCCTCCTCCAAACGAGTCTCGTCCTCCACATAATTTATTAAATTGATTTCTATGCTCCAAATTATCAAGGACAATAAGACACTTTCTTGCTTGAAGTCGCCTTTTCATCAACATGATTCCTTCGTCTATACTGCCAATGTCGATCTCCTCATTAAAAAGCTTCTTAAAAAGCTGCTTTTGTATAATTTTTATTTGATTGTCTACTTTCTCAAGATTTATTCCATTATCTTGTTGCCCTAAAGTTGTTGAATCTATCTCTAGAAAGCAGCTCCTTTCAAAATATACAAAAAGCCTGTTATAGACCGCTTTTGCAAGAGTTGTCTTCCCAATACCTCCCATACCATGTATCCCAATCATACGGACACCATCATGAGATTCCCCAAGCAATAACTGGATCACATGCTCAACACGATAATCAAGTCCTACCGTGTTAGGCACAAACATTGGTACTTGTCTTACTATCATCCGAACCTCCTTGATTATTGTATCGATAAACTTGGATTCATATCTTCAATATTCAAAAAGAAAACAAAAGTATAATGGAGAAATTTGCGATTGAATACATAATGAGATTCTTAAATAAAAGACTGATCTCTTTACTCATATTTACGTATAAATGTGAAGTATATTATGTATATTCAACATAGAATGTGTGCTCTTTAATTTTATGTGATATTCAATTATTTGCAACGTCATATATATAGATGCCCAATGCAATATAAGTATAAATCATGGACAAATGAGATAGCATTCGTGTTCATTGGAACTAAACTTAAATATAACTCAGTATAAAATTGTCCAGGTGTAGTTTCATTCAATTTTAAATATGAATAAATAAAAATAAAATTAATTATGATCCATATTATCCAATCGCACATAATTGATAGCAAAATTTAAGAATTGTTTGAAGAAAATAATAATGAGAAAGCAATACCTGTTAGTGATATATACCTTGTTAATCCCATCCCAACATTTTTTTATTTTTGGAAAAATTTGCTAGAAATATAATGTCATTATAAGATATTGAAAAGATATAACATATGATTTCATGTCAAAGGATTAAAAGAGAACCCTCTCAAATAAATGAAGGACTAAAACCCAATAACACATGATTGCTCACAAAAATTAAGAATTATTCAAACAAAATGATGAGAAAGTAAAACCATACCCGTTGGTGATTCCTTGCAAATCCCATCCAGACATATCTGCAACTTTAGTGAGAGCATCTCTCCACTTTTGTACTTTATCACCTTTCCCGAAACGTTCTTCGTGCTTTGCAAAAGCCAAGCCATAGTTCCCACTTTGCTTACGCACTTGAGAAGGATCAACATCGTAAAAAATGGGAAAAACTATTTGTTTTCCCTTCTCCTTACACTCCACAATTTGCAAAACTTCATCAAGGCACCACCTAGAGGATGCATAGTCTTTTGAGAAGACTATCATAGAGATTCTCGAATTTTGAATTGCTCTCGTGAGCTCAGGAGCAAGATATTCACCCCTTCTGAGTTCTTCGTCGTCTCTAAATGTGCGGATTCCGGTTTGACACAGCGCAGAATAAAGATGATCAGTGAAAGTTTTGCGTGTATCCTCACCTCTGAAGCTCAAGAACACATCGTATTCCCAAGCAAAAGATTCATGAGCGATTGGGGGTGTTGCCATCGATGGACAGAAAACTGAGTAAAACAAGGAATTGAAAGCTATAAAAATTTGAGTGCAGATGAATAGCTGTGAAATTGAAGACTTGAATTTATAGAGACAAATTATAGTGAAGTAGGTGAGAAATGACAAAAGGAAAGAGGAATGAAAATGCTTATCATTTACGTGGAAATTTCCTGGGTTGAAAAGCCCAATTGGCTCATATAAATTTTAAAAAAAATAAAATAAAATAAAAAATCATCACCTCTTCGGCTCTTCTTCTACTTTGTCCGGCGGCGTCTGCTCCTCTTCTCCATCGCGGTCTTCTCTCCTCTCTCCTGTTGTTGCCATCGCCCTCTTTCCCTTCCCTTCCGCCACCGCCCCTTCTCCGGCTCTCCTCCACCATCTCCAGAAAAGCTTCATTCTCAAAAATAAAAATAATATTTATATCCGTTGTGGAGTTGGATTTTGGAATATTTTGGTGGGGTTTGCAGCTTTGCCCGGCGTAATGGGTTGAACAACACCTACTCACTAATTCATCATGACAAAAGTACTTGGGTTGAACATGATGAAGTGGCAGGAGTAATGGAGCTGGATTGAACACAAACCAAAATACGAATCCATAAAATTCATTGCAATGTATAATTCTTCAAAAATGTAATCACTCCAAATATATTCAGGTAAGTTAGCTTGGAACCAATTAGAAGATCAGCTAATTAAAATACAACTGCATATCTTGCTGATTATGAGTGTCTGAATGATCAGCTAATAATCTAGCGCCTACTTATCACATTTTTGCTATGAACATTACTTGTTCTAAGGAGCCAAACTCTTATAATGAGGCCATACAATATAATTTGAGTGTTGGAGGGAAGCTATGAAAGCAGAAATTGAGGCCTTAGCTTGCAGGCCAATAATACATGGGTTCTTACTGACTTCCCACCCTCTAAACAATCAATTGGGTGTAAATGAGTGTACAATATTAAACACAAAACAGATGGGACTATTGAAAGATACAAGGCAAGGTTGGTAGCTAAGGGTACGCTCAAACTCCTGGATTGGATTACTTGGATACCTTTAGCCCAATGGCTAAGGTCACTATGATCAGAGTTTTGTTAGCCCCGATAAAATTCAGATAAAGCATATCAAGCAGCATTTGCACAATTCATTCTAAATAAAGGACTTAGGTCATCTTTAGTTCTTTTTAGGACTAGAAGATGCCAGAAATCACAAAGGCATAAGCATTAATCAAAGGAAGTATGCATTGGAATTACTTGACATCACAGGTTTTTTACATTGCAAACCTGCCAAAAACCCCATGTTGCCCTCTATCAAGGATCGTTATGTTGTGCATCCGTATGCACCATGCATGGTGCATACGGATGCAAAAACGACAGCGTTTTGACGTCTAACTTTAAAAAAAAAAAAAAAAAAAAAATCAAAATTACATAACTACACATCATAATTTCATAACTATACATCCAGAATTACATAACTACATATCCATAATTTCATAACTATACATCCATAATTGCATAACTACACATCCATAACTTCATAACTATACATCCAGAATTGAATAACTACACATTCATAACTTCATAACTATACATTCAGAATTGCATAACTACACATCCATAACTTCATAACTATACATCCAGAATTGCATAACTACACATCCATAACTTCATAACTATACATCCAGAATTTCATAACTACACATCCATAACTTCATAACTATACATCCAGAATTGCATAACTACACATCCATAACTTCATAACTACATTTCCAGAATTGCATAACTATACATCCAAAATTGCATAACTAAAAACCCAGAATGAATAAACTAAAAAATGAATAACATAATGTTGTTGCTGTGAATCGAAACTGATTTTTTTAAGTAGGACGCGCTTTTTGATGCAAAACGACGTCGTTTTTGCATCCGTATACACCATGCATGATGCATACGGATGCACAGCATAATTTGCCCTCTATCAAGCTACACAAACACAATGGAAGTGCTTTGGAGGATATCACTCAATATAGAAGATTAATTGGAAAATTGCTATATCTCACCATTACAAGACCAGACATCAATTTTGCTACAGAGCAATTATCTTAGAATCTGACCGGGCAACCTGTCTCGACACCATGAGATTTGTCACAGGGTTCTACATCTTAGCTACTGCCCTTTGGTGTCATGGAGGTCTAAGAAGCTAGTAACAGTTTCGAAATCCTCTTCTGAGGCAGAATATAGAGCCCTTGTTACTGCAACTTGTGAAATATAATGGATAACCCATTTACTTGAAGCCTCGGAAGTTGATGATCATGGCTAAGCTCTCTTATTCTTGGACAGACTTCTGCTATTGCCATAGCAGAAAATCCGGTGTGCCATGAAAGCATATAATATCCCCAAAAGCTCAATTCCAGGCTTCCAGCTTCCGAATCACAAATATCCATCTGTAATGGCCATATTGCAAGCAGATAATATGCCCTACATTTCCCGTTTAAGTAGAAGAGAATGTGAATAACAAAATAGATTTTGAAAGGATTACATAATAGATAAAAATCATGAAATGACTTTCCACAATACTCCAAGGCATTTAAAAAAAAAAAAAAAAAAAAAAAAAAAAAAAAAAAAAAAAACTTCTTTAACTGTATGATTCATCTAATTAAAAGGGAGTGTAAGGATGCCTACCAAATTAGAACAAACTACTACTTGTTTCTCCAAGGGAACCCCTGTGAACAATGTTAAGACCTGTAGCATGAAAATATGAAGAAAAGATAAGAATTTACACTAATTGCTCATATACAACCACGGCAAAACACAACCACTTTGAGTTGTTTTATTACTTATCATAAATTAATATTAATATTTCTACTAATTAGAGCATTATTAGCTAAAGATATCGGCAACATTGGAACACCTTACAAGAAATCAAAATATAAAATCTTCGTGTATGTACAAAGTTCTAAATTCTGGGGTTGACATATTATAGTGAACAATTAGGAAAGATAAACACTAAAATTAGGCTCTAGCTCTTTTACTTGTTCTTGAAGTGGAGTTTGTTTAGCACTAATTTCCTATGGAGAGAACCCATACAACATCACTATGGGGGTCTAATATTAGTCAATGCAGTGGCATTTTAATTTACAGAGACAAAGATCAGTACCTCAAATATTTGCATCAAGAATGTCTTGATTGATTTGCTTTTGTGTATAACGATCTCACTTCCAACTTCCAGTCTACCAATTTACTTTGGATCAACCTCATACTTCTCAAGAAGTGAAGTAACCCAACGGTCAAACTGCAGATCAAAAAATGAATAAGTTGGACCAGATCACATAAAGATAATATTTTACAAAAGTGAAGTTATTCTACCACTTTAGACAACACAAAGTCATAAAGCTATTGAACTAATTAAACATAAAGGTATTGAACTAATTAAACATAGCCCAACCAAGCAAATTCCCTACCACGGCTTCAACATCTAACAGAATCCAATTTTTTAAAAAATAGAGCTAATACCTCGTTGAAATGACACCCTCCACCTCACTTCGGAGGCGTGATGTCTCTCACAGGTGCATCTGTCATTAGCCCTGAGAGACCGAAATCACATATCTTTACTGTCCAATGCTTATTCACAAGACAATTTGCAGTTTTTAGATCTCGAGGAACTATCTTGGTGCGATGAATGCACATCAACCCTCTTAGTACGCAGATAGAAAATAACAGTCAGTTAATAAACAATAGCCTGCAACACAAAACCTATCATCATAATTTCACAATTGTTTTTAAACATAAAAATAACCTACCTGCATATGTCACATAGCATCTTAAGTCTCCTCCGCCAGCTGAGCAGCTTCTTTTGACCACTTAAATGAATCAAATAGTAAAGTGATGCCATATCCATGTACTCGGTAACCAAGGACAGATGTGGAGGCTTTGTACAAGCACCGAGAAACAATATAAGTATAAGCAAAAGGCATCCGCTAAATCAGTAATGCTTCAATATCAAATAAATCAATCAACAGCAGCTGGAGAAAGGCATACAATTCGGATGGAAATTTGATTGCAGAAATCCTCCATACATATGGTAAATAAGCCACTCTGTTAACCTTTAAATATGTTCAAAAGTTAATGTATTCTTCAATCTTCATACCTACTGTTAGATATTGGTGGCGCTAATATTCTGTTGCCAAATGACTGATTTTTTGTAGTGTGATCTTCAATAATACCAGTTTCTTCTCTTTTCTTCCACCTGCACTCCAAAACTTTCTTCTTTCTGCTTGTTTTATTCCACAGATCTTTCTTTCTGAAATCCAATTCAACCAGGAATTTCATTATAGGTAAGAATACAATCAAAACAACAATTTGAATTTATGATTCATATAATTAATAATTAATATAGAGGATGACTCAAATTAAAGAGAGAGAAAAACAACTAGAAATAATCGGTATGGGGAACAGTACACCTCCTAACCTCATTGTCCATATGGAATGAAGATTCTCCCAACCTTGAAAGTCCTTCAACTTTTTGCAACCAGAGGAATGCAAGTGACATAACCTAGTACAAGGCACGTGTACTAAATTAACCATGTACCACACCTTCGATGCATTCTGCATTAAGCACAAAAGAAGAGCGCTCCAGTCACTTCACTCTGCTACATTCTGTCCAACATCTACCATCCTCGAGCATGTATGAGATGTGCACAACATGAACAAAAAGATCTTTTGGTGCTTCCAGAAATTCTTCAGTGTTCTACCCAACTTTGGTGACGGGTAGAAGTTGTAGGGAGCCATCTTTATCTCTGTACAATGCTTCAACTCCTATTTTCTTCACCAGACTTGCTTCAACTCTTAATGATGATCTAATCCTCCTCTCTATGTACATTCCTTCATAAATTTCAATTATAGGTGTAGCTTTGATGACTTCTCCGGCTTTTATATCCCCATACCCAAAATCGTAAAGAATATTAGCTGTAATGACATGTAAAAATGACAATCCTTCCACTTCTAATTTGATCCCACGATAATTCCACCATGTTAGTGGGAAGTTTTTGGAATCATGCTTTTCAATTGTGATGCCACAATGACAATAAAGTGGTGGGAGTACTGGAGCCGAATTGAACACAACGAAAAGAATAAATCCATAAAATTCCAATGTATGATTGGATGATGGAAATTGAAATGATATTGAAGATATTTCTTTCTGACATCTAATCCAACCAGAAATTTCATTACAAGCAAAAAGACCATTGGAATTGAAGAAGCGTTTTAAAACCTGTGAAAGGAAATCAAACATATGTGACAATAGTAAGAATTAATGGATAGAAATTACATATACAGCACTAAAATTTTGTCAATAATAATTAATATGTACCTCGTTAACACTTCCTGAGAAATCGGTATGGGGAACACCTCCAAACCCCATTGTCCTTATGGAATGAAGGTTCTCCCAACCTTCAAACTCCTTCAACTTTTTGCAACCGACGAGATGCAAATGATGCAACCCCGTACAATTTGATAAGTTTGATACTTTTTCAATCAACTCACAATTTTGAACCTTAAGATCTTGAAGTTTTGGAGGAAGTTCTGGGAGCAATTTCAGGTTTTGACAATCATCTAAGTAGATTTCAATAACATTGGGAGGAAATTGTGGAAGCATTTTAAGGTTTTGGCAATCATTTAAATAAATTTCAGAAAGATTTGGAGGAAGTTCTGGAAGCATTTCCAACTTTTCACAACCACCTAAACAAATATCCGTAAGATTGGGAGGAAATTCTGTGAGCATTTTAAGATTTTTGCAACTAGATAAAATAATTGTCTTAAGATTGAGAGGAAGTTTTGGGAGCATTTCAAGGTTTTCACAACCATCTAAAGTAATATCCACAAGATTTGGAGGAAGAATTGGAAGCATTTTAAGACTTTTGCAACTAACTAAAAAAATATTCCTAAGGTTAAGTGGAAGCTCTTGGATCATTTTTAGATTGTCACAATGGTACAATTCAAGCTCTTCAACAGTGTGAGGAAGTTGTTGGAGTACTTCTTGGTCCTTGCAGAAATTCAACCGAATTGATTTAAGGTTGAACAAATGAGATAGGTTGGAGACCACCCCATAAGTACTGGTAAATACAAGACTTAGACTTTGTAATGAGGTTAAATTTCCAAACATTTCAGGGGATACTACAAGTTCGAACGCACCGGTCATATTAAGAGCTTGCAGTGACCGCAAATGGCTGACATTCTTTGGAAGTTTCTTTAACTTTCGACAGTTATCAAAACTTAAAGAAAATAATTTCCCCAATTCTCCGATGGAAGAATGCACCTTTAATAAACCTGAGCAATCAGAAAATGATAACTTACGGAGATTTTGACAGCCACTAAAGTTTGGAGTCCTTGTGAGATGTTTGCAGTGAGAGAAATCCAAAGACTTGAGACAAGGAATATACTGTTTTCATCAATTCAATAAACAAAAAGCAACAGAAATTAAAAACTTATATTGAATTATAATTTCTTATTAACTATTTTGCTATAACAATGAGTTATAGATACAAATAAAATATTATCAAATTACCTTTAGAGGGGCTTTAAATTCTTTGATGTTGCTATTCTCCATTTTCAAACTCACAAGCTTCTCAAAAAAACCACTTGATGAAATATTGATATATTTCAAAGGACAATGGTTCCATTGCAAACATCTAAGCTTCTTGGAACTGGATAGATGTTTGAATTTTCCATCAAGATGGACTTTATTACCAATTTCAAGAATTCTTAAATTCTCCATATTTTTAAATGCTTTTGTATTGTACTTCACATTTTTCATAGGAGAATACGTGAATACAATCACCTCAATCTTTCTTGTACCCTACAGAAAAAGCAAAATTAGTTAAACAAACATATAGGCTATTTTGTGTGGTACACAAAAGGCAAAATTAGTTAAACAAACACATAGGCTATTTTGTGTGGTACATAAATGACTATTATTTTAAGAGAACAACAATTTAGTGTATAGAAATCTTTAGAGGGTTTTAGCTAGCGAATATGGTTTATATTCTTTAGATTAAATTCAACTAAATATACTTCAAGTTTGAAGTATTACTAGGTTTGTCTTTAACTTACAAGCTTACCATAATAGTCCTATGAGTTTGAGATGTTACCATCTTTGGTCCTCAACTTACAAGTCTACTATACCATAATAAGTTCCTCAACTTCTTTAAAGCTACTTAGTACGCTTGTAAGTTGAGGGTCAAAGTTGGTATTGCCTCAAACTCAGATGACCTTTAGTAGAATTTGGACTACTAGTGGTAGTTTTTGAAAAGTTGGATGACTTATTGTGGTAGGCTTGTAAGTTGATAACCAAAGTTGGTAATGCCGCAAACTCAGAGGACCCTTATTGAAATTTACTCTATTCTTTATAAGAGAACGAAGGATAATTCAAATTTTTCTTGAAATAAAATATTCAAATGTTAATGATCAAAACCTTTTGCTATTTCAACTATTGATAATGTGAAACTTTTTTCGATGATGAGAAAAAATCGTAGTCACTATCTAAAAGCGTGCACAAAATAAACCTAAAGCGATGTACGCAAAATTTAGAAAATCTAACACATTTATGCATTGAGTCTTGGCAAATAATAGAAAATCATTAGTTTGTGTCATGTTAATCCCATAAGAAATTATCAAGAAGATAATTTGTGGTAAATAAATAGTTATTAATATTTTCATGAGAGGTAAAAGAATCTCTTCGTCATTTAATTTTGATATGAAGTAGTAACATTAGTTGATGTAAGATTTATGCATAATAATTGAGAATGAGACAAATTTAAAAATCATTACCTTTTCCCCTATAAGCACATCATGGATATCATAAGGACACCACAATCGACTACGCTCACCAAGATTGTTTGGCGACTCCGAACGAACAATTTCCCTCCCCATCTCTCGGATTAAGCTATGCATAGTAACCCAATACTCCTCACTATTTATCAAGCATTTGTCAACCAAGTCTTGAATTTCAATGTCTGAGAAATATCCCATGTTATCAATTTTCTCCTTAGAAACTCTACCCGAGAAACAAACAAGATCAAGAAAAAGAGATTTTATATGATCATCTGGAAGCCCATCATAACTAATCTTAAGTTTAGCTTGAATGTCCTTATGAGGAATTCCTTTCAATTTTTCAAAAGCACTAATCCACTCCTTTTTCGGTTTACGACACAGATAAGCTCCTAAAACTTCAAGAGCTAATGGAAGTCCATTACAATAAGCAACTATGTCATCTAGAAGCTTATTATAATCTTCTTTTTGCAACGCAGGCTCTCCAAATGCATGTAGGCTAAACAGCTGCAAAGACTCTTCATGGCTCAATACCTCAACTTCATAATGTTCATCCACATTGAACTCTTTAAAAACATGGGCCTCCCTTGTTGTTAAAATAAGTCTACTTCCTCCCCCAAACCAGTCTCGTCCTCCACATAATTTATTGAATTGATTTCTATGCTCCAAATTATCAATGACTATGAGACACTTTTTGGCTTGAAGTCTCCTTTTCATCAACATGATTCCTTCATCTATATTGTTAATGTCGATCTTCTCATTCAAAAGCTGTTGAAAAAGCTGTTTTTGTAATTTTTTGATCTTCTTATCTACTTTCATAATATTTATCCCATTATCTAGTTGCCCTGAAATTGCTGAATCTATCTCAAGAAAACATCTGCTTTCAAAGTATTTAAAAAGCTGATTATAAACAGCTTTAGCAATAGTTGTTTTCCCAATACCCCCCATACCATATATCCCGACCATACGAACATCATCATTTGATTCTCCATGCAATAACTGAACCACACGCTCAACACGATAATCAAGTCCAACTTTGTGCTTGGCAACAAACATTGGTGCATGGCTGACTATACATTGGACCTCCTCGATTATTGAATTGATGAAATTGGATTCATATCTTCAGTATTCATATAGAAAATGAAAGCATTATGATGAAACTTGCAAATGAATATATAATCAGTCTCTAAATAAAGTGTCTCTGTAATTCAATAATCATATATGTGTGTGCACGCCTGCGTGTGAAGTATATTATTAATATGCAACTTTGAATGTATGCTCAATTATGAGATATTCAATTATTTGCAACATCATATATAGAGATGCCCAATGCAATGTAAGTTTGAATGAAGGACATCTATAATCAAAAGTTTTGTCCAATGGGGCATAACTCATTACAAATAAAATAAGGTGAAAGTATTTTGCATGTTTGGTTCACACATGCGAATCATAATCGAATGGGTATCAAATACTTGGTAACGGTGATGGATTTTAGTGAAAATATTTTGCATGTTTGGTAGTAGTATAGGGTGGAATGACAATGATTATCAATAATGTTGTTTGGTTATGTATGATTCAATAATGGGAATAAAGATTTTAAAAATACAAGAACACAAAATCAAGACAATTGATTTTAATATAAAGACATCCAAAACACCAATATGAACAAAAATAAAATAAAATCAAAAATCTAAAAGCACTAATTAAAGGGGTTGAGAATGAATAAAAGAATGAAAGGGAATGATACCCTTATTTTATTTAGATATAAATTTTTCGGGATATTTGAAACTCATAGTAGTATTCTAAAACCTATTAACCAAACAATACCAATCAATTTGATACCCATTCCTTAGAGCTAAACATGTCAACCAAACACAGCCTAACAATTACTCAATTCAAATAATGAGAAATGGGGCAAGACCATACCCGTTGGCGACTCCTTTCAAATCCCATCCCGACATATCGGCGACTTTAGTGAGTGCATCTCTCCATTTCTGCACTTTATCACTCCCGTGAAAACGCTCTTTGTGCTTTGCCAAGGCCATGCCATAGTTCCCACTTTGCTTACGCACTTCGGAAGGATCAACGTTGTAAAAAATAGGAAAAACTTTAAGTTTTTCCTTCTCCTTGAGCTCCACAATTTCCACCAATTCATCAAGACACCACCTAGACGAGGCGTAATCTTTCGAGAAGACTATCACAGCGATTCTTGAACTTTGGATTGCTCTCATAAGCCCAGGAGCAAGATATTCACCCTTTCTGAGCTCCTCCTCGTCTCTAAATGTGCGGATTCCGGCTTGACGCAACGCAGAATAAAGATGATCAGTGAAAGTTTTGCGTGTGTCTTCACCTCTGAAGCTCAAGAACACATCGTAATCCCAAGGAAAGGATTCATGAGCGATTGAGGGTGTTGCCATAGATAGACAGATCAGAAAAGTGATGAGTAAAAGAAGGCCGAAAAGCTAGAAAAATTAGAGTGAAGATGACGAATAGGTGTTGAAATGGAAGAGTTGAATTTATAGAGATGAGATGGAGTCATGGAGATGGGTAATTAAGTAGGTAGGTGAGAAGGAAATAAAGGAAATGGAAATATGACAGAGATTGAGTGGATGACTGAGCTTGTTGAAGTCAGTCCAGAGAGAAATGACAAAGGGCATGTTTGGTAAAAATTTGGTTTATAGGCCAATTTTGACTTATTTAACCATTATTAATTGTTTGATTTAGTTAAAATATCAATAGAAATATTTGATTAATTAGTTTTTTGTAACTTCAAAAGGCTAAAATTCAAAAAGCTACTTCAAGCAACTTTTTCAATTAACTTTTTGAGAAAAGAAATTATACCAAACAGCTATCAGCTAACAGCTAATTTACCAAACACTTTTCTACAATCATCTAATGTTATCAACTATTTATACCAGCTAACAGTCATTTTACCAAACAGAGCCAAAATTAAAGGAAAGAGGAACGAAAATGCTTATCATTTACTTGGAAATTTCCTGATATAAATTTCCTACTATCTTCAAATAAATAAATAAATAAATAAAGGGAGAAGTGTCAAATAGGCCTATCTACTACTAGCAAGTGATCAATTCCCACTACGAACTAAATTAAAGTCTAATTAACCACACTTCCCTGCTAAATTTGTTCAATTGACAATTTTGCAAGTAATTGGCTTTTTTGTAGGTGGCTAACAAGTTACCAATTCAATTATTTTTTGATCTTCCTGCTTTCAAAAAAAAAAAGTTCGTAGTGAGAATTGAGCACTTGACAGTAATAAATGGACCTATTTGACACTTCTCCCATAAATAAAAATCTCTGCCTAATACCTCTAGATGAATTTTTTTTAAGGATAATACTAGATATGGCAAATTAAAATTTATCACTTCACAATATTTAATAAAATATTGGATACAAAAATGTAATCTAAATAATGTTTTTATAAATAAATTTTTCTTCTATTTCATTTTTTCCATCTACTTTTAATCTAATTCGAGATTGCTCACTTTTTCCACTTTTGCTCCATAACGTTATTCACATCCATGAAATTTTCTCTCACTACCAAAATGCTATATCATTCAATTTACAATTAATTATTATTTTTTTTCTTCATCAATACAATTCTTTCTAATTTTTCAAAATGGTCACACTTTCATATAACTTTATTAAGAGAGGTTAATTTCCTAGCTATTGCGTAGTGTATGTGGATCCCTGCGTCTCCGGAAGCGTTTTAACAAGCATGATTGTAGTACTGCATTTACTTCCACCAATAACTAGCTGGAGAGGAAATTATGAAGGGACAGACCATAAAAAGCTAAAGTGTCCTACAAAAATGTGTAGTATATGAAATGATTATATATAATTCTCCATTTTCATTTACCTCATTATGTTGTAAAAATTGCGCCTAAATGCCAGGCGCCGGCTGACCATCTATATTATCACTGTGGTGATTTAGACGGAACGGCCACCTAATTGGCGGATTAGTTATTATACATTTTTTTAAATGGATTATTTCATTTAAAATGATGTCATCATTTTTAACGAAATAACCCTAAATCATTCAAATCCTAGATATTTGTTGAGGTTGATATTTAATATTTTAGTATTAACTATTAAAGTATTAAATAATATATAATTATCAAGTTTTAAAAAACTTTTAAAAATTAAACAAGTTGTAAAAGCTAAAATAATATAAAAAACATAGGTGCCTGCAATTTTTTCAACAATGCAATAGAGTTTTAGGAAAGGGCGAGGGAATCGGTAATATTCACTGCAGATTTATTATAAAAAAAAATCTAAAGAGAAAAGATAACAATAAAAAATGAGAGGGAAATCTCGTAAAGATTGAGTGGAAAACTTAATTAAGTGAAGTCTAGAGATGGATGACAGGGAAAGAGGAAAGCTAAGGAAGAAAAGTGAAGGAAATTTCATAGAAATTGAGTGGAAGACAGCAAGGGAACTGCAGACCAGAAAGCTAAAGAAGAAAAGTGTAAAGAGGAAACATAAAGGATAAAGAGGAGGGACCACACAAGGATGGAATTTCATTCTGATCTACTGTGCATTAAAGGGTTCAAGGCATATTCTTTACAGCTCGATCCACACTCCAACTAAAAGGGTTCACTAACTCTAACTGCCACAGCAGAAAATCCGGTGTTCCATGAAAGCAGATAATATCCCCAAATGCTCAATTCCAGCTTCCGAATCACAAGCCGGCCTCCATCTGTAATGGCCATATTGCAAGCAGATAATATGCCCTACATTTAACGTTTAAGTATAAGAGAATGTGAATAACACAATAGATTTTGAAAGGATTACATAATAGATGAAAATCATGAAATGACTTTCCACAATGCACGAAGGCATTAAAAAAAAAAAACTTCTTCAACTGTATGATTCATCTGATTAAAAGGCAGGTTTGGATGCCTACCAAATTTGAACAAACTACTACAACTTGCTTCTCCAGGGGAGCCCCTACGAACAATGCTAAGACCTGTAGCATGAAAGTACGAAGAAAAGATAAGAATTTACACTAATTGCTCATATAAACCCACTGCAAAACACAACCACTTTGAGTTATTTTGTTACTTATCATAAGTTAATATTAATATTTCTACTAATTAGAGCATTATTAGCTAAAGATAACATCAACATTGGAACACCTTACAAGAAATCAAAATATAAAATCTTCATGTATATACAAAGTTCTAAATTCTGGGGTTGGACATATTATAGTGAACAATTAAGAAAGATAAACACTAAAATTAGGCTCTAGCTCTTCTTGAAGTGGAGTTTATTTAGCACTAATTTCCTATGGAGAGAATCCATACAACATCACTATGGGGGCCTAATATTACTCAATGCAGTGGCATTTTACAGAGACAAGAATCAGTACCTCAAATATTTGCATAGGAATGTCTTGATTGATTTGCTTTTGTGTATAACGGTCTCGCTTCCAACTTCCAGTCTACCAATTTGCTTTGGATCAACCTCATACTTCTCAAGAAGTGAAGTAAAAACGGTCAAACTGCAGATCAACAAATGAATAGGTTAGACCAGATCACATAAAGACAATATTTTGCAAAAGTAAAGTTATTCTACCACTTTAGACAGGAAAAGACATCCGCTAAATCAGTAATGCTGCAATATCAAATAAGTAAATCAACATATATCAACTGGAGAAAGGCATACAATTTGGGTCCCTGAGGCGGGTGAAAAACTAAAAAGAGACAAGTTAGTGTAAATACATATTGAAAGAAATAGAGCTAATTACTTGGACAATATGACCAATATTTCAAAAACAAAAAATAAATAAAAGAGAGAGAGACGATAAGATACCTTAGGATGGAAATTTCATTGCAGAAATCCTCCATGTTTTCAGCAGTCAAATCTTGCTCCAACAAAACTTTGATTGCAACTTCTATTCCATTCCAAATGCCACGAAAAGATTCTCTGAAGAATCCTAAAAATGGACAGGAATTAAGCAGTAACAGTAAAATGACAAAAATAAATAAATGGCGTGAATGTTTTTACCAAGACTTGCAGGTGAATCTATTTTGGCTTCCCATGCATACCAATAGATAATGTTTCTTAGTGCTTTGAGAAAGAATTTGAAAGATTGGTAAAAAATCATAGTTCACAGTGGTTAAGTTTGCACCACTGAAAGAACACAACACACACATATTTCTGGCAACTAGTAATATATTTTTTTAAAAGTCTCATATTTGTTGTCTTTAGAACCCCATTTTAAGCACCTAGCAGTATGGTTGAAAGCATATTCGCATTCATGAAATATAAATTATGGTAAATAAGCCACTCTTCTTAATGGTCTTCTGGTCCTTCTTCCAGCTCTGTTAACCTTTAAATATGTTCAAAATTAATGATATACGTGCCTCCTTGTATTATTCAATCTTCATACCTACTATAAGATATCCGTGCTGCTAATATTCTGTTGCCAAATGACTGGTATTCTCTTTTCTTCCATCTGCACTCCAGAACTTTCTTCTCTCTACTTGTTTTTTTCCACAGATCTTTCTTTCTGGCATCCAATCCAAATTCCATCGGGAATTTCACTATAGGTAAGAATACAATCAAAACAACGATTGGAATTTATGATTCGTATAAAAATCTGTGAAAGAAAATCAATAATTAATATAGAGGATGACTGAAATTAAAGAGAGAGAAAAACATTTTCAAAAAAAAAAAAAGAGAGAGAAAAACAATATATATGTACCTCCTTAATCGGTATGGGGAACACCACCTAACCTCATTGTCCGTATGGAATTAAGATTCTCCCAACCTTAAAAGTCCTTCAACCTTTTGCAACCAAAGAAATGCAAGTGACACAACCTAGTACAAGACACGTGTACTAAATTTTAACCTCGAAAGAAGAGCGCTCCAATCACTCTACTCTGCTCCGTTCTATCCACAACACCTACCATCCTCGAGTATGTGTGAGACGTACACAACATGAACAAAAAGATCTTTTTTGGTCTCACATTTGGCTCCTCCTCCTCCTCCAGTGTTCTACCCAACTTTAGTGAGGGGTAGAAGTTGTAGGGAGCCATCTTTATCTCTATACAATGCTTCAACTCCTATGTTTTTCACCACACTTGCTTTAACTCTTATTTCCTTTTCCAGACATGCTTCACCTATTGATATATACCCATCTCTGTAGAATCCTTCATAAACTTCAGTTCTAGGTGTAGCTTTGATGACTTCTCCGGCTTTTATATCTCCATTCCCATAACGGAAAAGATCATTAGGTGTAATGACATGTAAAAATGAAATTCCTTCCGCTTCTAATTGGATCGCACCATGATAAATATCTCGTGAGAAGTCTTTGGAATCATGCTTTTCAAATCTGATGTGATAATGACAATAAAGTGGAGGGAGTAGTGGAGCCGGATTGAACACAACCAAAAAAACAAATCCATAAAATTCCAATGTATTATTCTTCAAATTGGATGATGGATATTCAAATGATATTGACGATTTTTCTTTCTGACGTCTAATCCCACCAGGAATTTCATTACAAGCAAGAAGACCATTGGAATTCATGGAGCGTTTTAAAACCTGTGAAAGGAAATCAAACATATGCAACAATAGTAAGAATTACTAGATAGAAATTACATATATAGCACTCAAATTGAAGAGTGGAAAAAACATATGTACCTCCTTAATGCTTTCTGAGAAATCGGTATGGGGAACACCTCCAAACCCCATTGTCCTTATGGAATGAAGATTCTCCCAACCTTTAAACTCCTTCAACTTTTTGCAATTGATGAGATGCAAATGACGCAACCCCGTACAATTTGATAAGTTTGATACTTTTTCAATCAACTCACAATTTTCAACCCTAAGATCTTGAAGTTTTGGAGGAAGTTCTGGGAGCAATTTCAGGTTTTGGCAATCATCTAAGAAGATATCAGTAACATTGGGAGGAAATTTTGGAAGCATTTTAAAGTTTCTGCAACTAGATAGAGTAATTTTATAAAGATCCAGAGGAAGTACTGGGAGCATTTTAAGATCATTGCACCTATATAATCTAATTTTTCTAAGATTGGGAGGAAGTTCTGGGAGCATTTTTAAGTTTTTCCAATCATCTAACTTAATTTTCTCAAGATTGAGAGGAAGTTCTGGAAGCATTTCAAAATTTTCACAACCACCTAAAAAAATCTTCCTAAGATTGGGAGGAAATTCTGTGAGCATTTTAAGGTTTTTGCAACTAGATAAACTAATTCTCTTAAGATTGAGAGGAAGTTTTGGGAGCATTTCAAGGTTTTCACAGCCATCTAATTCAATTTCCTCAAGATTGGGAGGAAGTTTTGGGAGCATTTCAAGGTTTTCACAGCCATCTAAACTAATACTCTCAAGATTGGGAGGAAGTTTTGGAAGAATTTTAAGACTTCTGCAACTATGTAAACGAATACTCCTAAGGTTAAGTGGAAGCTCTAGAATCATTTTTAGATTGTGACAACGATACAAACAGACCTCTTCAACAGTGTGAGGAAGTTGTTGGAGTACTTGTTGGTCCTTGCAGAAATTCAAGCTAATTGATTTAAGGTTGAACAAATGAGACAGGTTGGAGACCACCCCATAAGTACTGGTGCCTTGAAGACTTAGTGTTCGTAATGAGGTTAAATTTCCAAAAATTTCAGGGGATGCTTTAAGTTCAAACGAATAGAACATATTAAGAGCTTGCAGTGACCGCAAATGGCTGACATTCTTTGGAAGTTTCTTTAACTTTTGACAGTGAAAAAACTCTAAAGAAACTAATTTCCCCAATTCTCCGATGGAAGAATGCACCTTTAACAAACTTGAGCAACAGTGAAATGATAACTTACGGAGATTATGACAGCCACTAAAGTTCGGAGTCCTTGTGAGATGTTTGCACCAAGACAAATCCAAAGACTCGAGACAAGGAAAATACTGTTTTGATCAATTCAATAAACAAAAAAAGCAACATAAATTAAAAACATATATTGAATTATAATTTATTATCTTTAACTATTTTCCTATAACAAATGAATTATAGATAAAAATAAAATATTATCGAATTACCTTTAGAGGGGCTTTAAATTCTTTGATGTTGCTATTCCCAATTTCCAGACTCACAAGCTTCTCAAAAAAACCATTTGATGGAAAATTGATAGATTTCAAAGGGCAATGATTCCATTGCAAACATCTAAGCACCTTGGAACTGGATAGATGTTTGAATTTTCCATCAAGATGGACTTCATCAATTTCAAGAATTCTTAAATTCTCCATGTTCTTAAATGCTTTTGTATTGTACTTCACATTTTTCATAGGAGAATAGTTGAATACAATCACCTCAATCTTTTTTGTACCCTACACATAAAAAGTAAAATTAGTTAAACAAACACATAGGCTATTTTTGTATGGTAAATAAATGACTATTTTAAGAGAACACCAATTTAGTGTATACAAATCTTTAGAGGGTTTTTGCTAGTGAAATATGGTTTATATTCTTTAGATTAAATTCCACTAGATGTACTTCGAGTTTGAGGTATTACTAGCTTTGGTCTTTAACTTACAAGTCTACCATAATAAGTCATTCAATTCTCTAAAACTTCCAATAATAATGTGTAACTTTTTTTTTTTTTTCAAATTGATGATTAGAAAAATTCGTAGTTACTATCCAAAAGCGTGCCCAAAATAAATCTAAAGTGAAGTATACAAAATTTAGAAAATCTAACACATTTATGCATTGAGGCTCGGCAAATAATAGAAAATCATTAGTTGCTGTCATGTTAATCCCATAAGAAATAAATTATCAAGAAGATAATTTGTGGTAAATAAATAGTTATTAATTTATTATTATTTCATAAGAGTTAAAGAATGTCTTATTTTGATATGAAATAGTAACATTAGTTGATGTAAGATTTATGCATAATAATAGAGAACGAGACAAATTTAAAAATCATTACCTTTTCCCCTATAAGCACATCATGGATATCATAAGGACACCACAATCGACTACGCTCACCAGGATTGTTGGGTGACTCCGAACGAATAATTTCTCTCCCCATCTCTCGAATTAAGCTATGCATACTAATCTCAGACCACTCATCAAAATTTAGCAAGCATTTGTCAACCAAGTCTTGAATTTCAATGTCTGAGAAATACCCCATGTTATCAATTTTCTCCTTAGAAACTCCACCGGAGAAACAAACAAGATCAAGAAAAAGAGATTTTATATGATCATCTGGAAGCCCATCATAACTAATCTTAAGTTTAGCTTGAATGTCATTATGAGGAATTCCTTTCAATTTTTCAAATGCACTAACCCACTCCTTTTTCGATTTATGACACAGATAAGCCCCTAAAACTTCAAGAGCTAATGGAAGTCCCTCACAATAAGCAACTATGTCATCTAGAAGCTTATTATAATCTTCATTTTGCAACGCAGGCTCTCCAAATGCATGTAGACTAAACAGCTGCAAAGACTCCTCATGGTTCAATACCTTAACTTCATAATGTTCGTCCACATTCAACTCTTTAAAAACATGTGCCTCTCTTGTGGTTAAAATAAGTCTACTTCCTCCACCAAACCAATCTCGTCCTCCACATAATTTATTAAATTGATTTCTATGCTCCAAATTATCAAGGACAATAAGACACTTTCTTGCTTGAAGTCGCCTTTTCATCAACATGATTCCTTCGTCTATACTGCCAATGTCGATCTCCTCATTAAAAAGCTTCTTAAAAAGCTGCTTTTGTATAGTTTTTATCTGATTGTCTTGTTGCCCTGAAGTTGTTGAATCTATCTCTATAAAGCAGCTCCTTTCAAAATATACAAAAAGCCTGTTATAGACCGCTTTTGCAAGAGTTGTCTTCCCAATACCTCCCATACCATGTAACCCAATCATACGGACACCATCATGAGGTTCTCCAAGCAATAACTGAACCACATGCTCAACACGATAATCAAGTCCTACCGTGTTAGGCACAAACATGGGTACTTGTCTTACTATCAACCGAACCTCCTTGATTATTGCATTGATAAACTTGGATTCATATCTTCAATATTCAAATAGAAAACAAAAATATAATGAAGAAATTTGAGATTGAATACATAAGGTCATAAGGAGACTCTAAATGTGAAGTATATTATGTATATTCAACATAGAATGTGTGCTCTTTAATTTTATGTGATATTCAATTATTTGCAACGTCATATAGATGCCCAATGCAATATAAGTATGAATCATGGACAAATGAGATAGCATTCGTGTTCATTGGAACTAAACTTAAATAATAACTCAGTATAAAATTGTTCAGGTGTAGTTTCATTCAATTTTAAATATGATCGAATAAATAAAATTAAAATTAATTATGATCCATATTATCCAATCGCACATAATTGATCTAAAAAATTTAGAATTGTCTGAAGAAAATAATAACGAGAAAGCAATACCCGTTAGTGGTACGGACCTGGCAATTCGTGTATACGTGTCCGTTAACGGGTCGACACGATAACGACACGAATACGATAAGGCTAAACACGGACACGACACGTTATGGTTAACGGGTTTAAATTTTCAACACGAACACGAACACGATTTGTTTACGGGTTAAACGGGTTGACACGATAGACACGTTTTGTTAACAGGTTTCAAGTCGTGTCGACACGATATGACACGAAACTCGTTTAAACCCGCTATTTCTATTAATCTATTATATATCAATTCATATATTCTTAATGTATTACAACAAATTCATTCCGTGCATCGCACGGGTGCAAATACTAGTATATTTAAAAAACTAAAATTTAAAGTTAAGTTCTATAAAAAAAGAAATAAAACCTACAATTCAATTCATCAAACAAACTAAAAGTATTCAATTCAAAACATTCATAACATGATAAAATAACATACAAAAATCATAATTAAAGGAGTTCATACAAGTTTTTAGAATAAAATTGAACACAATCAAAGTTTAAATTTCAAATTGTTGAACATCAATAATTGGTGTAGGATCTTGGTCAAATGTAATAAATTCATCCTTAGTCATGTACATACTATCTTTTGTAATCTCAACAATCGTTCTTACATAAATGACAATGATTCTTAGCGGGTTATAAACAGGTTTGGTAAACGGGTTAACACGATAATATTAACGAGTTAAACGGGTTTTTAATATGTTTAACGGGTTAACCCGTTAAGACACGAAACATAACGGGTCCTTAACGGGTCAACCCGTTAACGACCCGGGACATGTTAAGGCTAAACACTAACCCGTTATTTTTGTGTCCGATTTCGTGTCGTGTTAACGGATCGTGTCCATAATTGTCAGGTCTAAGTGGTACCTTTTTAATCCTATCCCCACACTTTTTATTTTTGGAAAAATTGTTTTAAATATAATATAATTATAAGATATTGAAATACTTTTTTTTTTTTGAAATCATATTGAAATACATTTTATTTTACTTTTAACCTTAACTGATTTTGTAAAGATATAACATATGACTTCGGGAAAAAAGACCCCTCTCAAATAAATAAAGGACTAAAACCCAATAGCACATGATTGCTCACAAAAATTAAGAATTATTCAAAAAATAGTAATCAGAAAGTAATACCATACCCATTGTTGATGCCTTGCAAATCCCATCCCGACATATCTGCAACTTTAGTGAGAGCATCTCTCCACTTTTGTACTTTATCACCTTTCCCAAAACGTTCTTCGTGCTTTGCAAAAGCCAAGCCATAGTTCCCATTTTGCTTACGCACTTCAGAAGGATCAACATCATAAAAAATGGGAAAAACTATTTGTTTTCCCTTCTCCTTACACTCCACAATTTGCAAAACTTCATCAAGGCACCACCTAGAGGATGCATAGTTTTTTGAGAAGACTATCATAGAGATTCTCGAATTTTGAATCGCTCTCGTGAGCTCAGGAGCAAGATATTCACCCCTTCTGAGTTCTTCATCATCTCTAAATGTACGAATTCCAGTTTGATACAGCGCAGTGTAAAGATGATCAGTAAAAGTTTTGCGTGTATCCTCACCTCTGAAGCTCAAGAAAACATCGTATTCCCAAGAAAAAGATTCATGAGCGATTGGGGGAGTTGCCATCGATGGACAGAAAGCTGAGTAAAACAAGGAATGATATTGAAAGCTATAAAAATTAGAGTGCAGATGAATAGCTGTGAACGAAATTGAAGACTTGAATTTATAGAGAGAAATTATTGTAAAGTAGGTGAGAAAGGAACTGGAAGTATCATAGAGACTCAGTGGATGACTCAGCTTGTTGAAGTACAGAGAGAAATGACAAAAGGAAAGAGGAAAGAAAATGCTTCTCATTTACATAGAAATTTTCTGGATTGAAAAGTCCAATTCGCCTTTTCTAAGCGAAATTATTCTGTGCATCATGGTTCATATAGTGCTATTTAGATAATAAAAAATATTTCGTATATTATTCGTGTACTTAGTGTACATTATATATAATAATATATTTTTAGTATTTAAATAATATATTTTTTCTTATTATAAGTTACATTTTTAATATATTAAAAATTAAAAACACATTATTTGATGAAGTACCAAGAGTCAATATCACCTTCGGAGACTCGAACCCATGACCTCTACTATAAAGGAGCAACTTGGTGTCATTAGACTACAAGGTCCTTGATCACTAAAATATTTTTTCCTATCAAAATTAAATAATTTTAATAGAATTTCCTTCAAACTTAAAATAATATTTAACTTCACAACTCCTAAAATATTATTTAAATTTAATAACATATTTGCAATCGCCAAATATACCTTCATTTATTATATAAATCTCAAACATGAAGTTGGTAATATTTACGGAAGATTTATTATAAAAGAAAAAAAAATGTAAAGAGAAAAGTAAAAGGAAAAATGAAGAGGGAAATTGAGTGGAAGACAGGCAGACAGCTAACTGAAGTCCCATAGTCGTCGGTGTAGGACACAGAGCATTTATATCACGCGGGGATACTTTGATATCTTTTTATTACATTTTTTTTTCAAACATTTTTATTATAGTCTTAGTTACCCATGAAAATTGCTTTGAAAATGTTATAAAAATTTGTTACTTTAAAATGGTTTCAGGTTATCACTATTAGACTGTCCAAAATTTTTTATTAAATAAGATCACAAGACGAATTTCATCTAGATCATGTTTTCAAATTGTGGTTATAAACTTCCCGTACATCAAATATTATTAATAAAATTGTATACTTTGAAAATATTACTATCAGATTCACAATTATTGGACTGTCAAAAATTGGGTGGACTACATTCTTTCATGCTATCTAAACAAAGAATCCAAGAAATTTCAATGTACTTCTCAAAGATATTTTGATGATCATCTCCCTCAAACTTAAATGCCAAAAGACAAAAGTGGATGACTCAGCCAACCTGTTAGAGTGCAGAGAGAAATGACAAAAGGAAAGCGGAAAGAAAATGCTTATCATTTATTATCTCCCTCCTATCTTATGTGTTTGGTTCGGTTAACGAAACTTGTTTGGAGTTATTTTAATTCAATTTTTCATAATATTAAATTTAGTATTAGTATACAAAATTTATATATTCAGAAAGAGTTAATTCCCCCAAAGGTCCCTTGTCTTTTGTGGTAATTTCAAATTTAGTCTAAGACTATCATTTTTGTCATTTAACATCTCATATTACGGAGTATTATTTTTTAAATACTTTTAGTCATTGTCATGACTTTTTCTATTTTTAGTAAAGACAACTTTTTCTTTTAATATTTTTCTTTTGTTATTTTTTCAGTTTCAGCTAATTTAACTGGTTTACAACTTGAGGTAACCTCTGATTTTTAGGAATCATATTTTAAACCGATTTTTAGTAAAGTTCTAAACCAATGAAACCGGTTGAAACAGAAAAAATAACAAAAGAAAAATATGAATAAACAAAAATGCACTTACTAAAAATAAGAAAAGTCATGAGAATGACAAAAAATGTCCAAAAACTAATAGTCTAGGATGTTAAAAAGGCAAAAACGATAGTCTTAGACTAAATTTAAAATTATAATTTGAGTTTTATTACATGAACTTCTAAATCTTATTTTTTGATGTGGCGGACACTGATAAGCTACTTTTTCATGTGAGCCCCAATAAAAATGTCTACTTTAAGATTTTGTGTGAAAATAAAAGTTTGAGTAGAAAATTGAAATACATATATTTTCCTTATAATTTTAAGCTAATGCCGGGGGAGGAGGAAATTATTAAGGGATAGGGAAGAGAAAGTGTCCTACAATAATTTGTATTGTAGTATATCATATGCTTATAACCCTCCATTTTCATCCCCCTAATGAAGATGTAGGAACCGACTTTATTAAGAAAGTCCATTTTGCAAATCCAATTTTCTCATTTTTGCCCTAGCTATGTATACTACGAATTATATGAATTAAAAAAAAATATTAGTAAAGTAACATATTTGAATTTTTTTAGTTAGTTTTAAAATAATATTTATTTTAATTTTTAATTTAATTAGCATTAACTTGATGAATTTTGTTTTATTATAAGTGCTACCTCTAAAATTAACACAAAAACCTGTATGCTTGTGTAAGCAAAAACAATGTAGAAGATGAGATTGGTTTTTCTGAATTTTCCGAGCTATAGCACTACATGCAACCCTACGCCTACATGCAACCCTACTATACGGCAGGGCCCAAATATTTCACATAATTAATATTTTTCAAAAATAATATTCACCTACTCATTATAACGAAAATAAAAATAATAATAGCTCCGAAAAGGTGATTGATCAAGTTGGTGAAGAATGATTTTTGTACTAGAAGATCATGAATTCAATTCTTCTTAACAATTTTTCTATCGAGCCTATCAAATTAGATCTTCTTACACAGTATTTAAATGAAATAAATTATACAAACATTTAATCTAAATAACATTTTTGAAAAATAACCAACACCTACTCACTAATTCATCATGACAAAAATACTTGGATTGAACACAAACCCAAAATACAAATCCATAAAATTCATTCCAATAATGTATAATTCTTCAAAATGCATATCTTGTTGATTATGAGTGTCAGAATGTTCAGCTAAATAAGCAATAGGACTTCTCCTCACAGCTTGACAGTAGTTATGTCTTATAATAATCTAGATAGCGCCTAGTTCTAAGGAGGCAAAGTCTTATAATGAGGCCATACAATTTGAGTGTTGGAGGCAAGCTATGAAAGCAGAAATTGAGGCCTTGCAGGCAATAATACATGGGTTCTTACTGACTTGCAATTGCCACCCTCTGAACAACTGTGGAGAGATCAATTCACTGCATTTTACAGAGACAAGGATTAGTACCTCAAATATTTGCATCAAGAATGTCTTGATCGATTTGCTTTTGTGTATAACGGTCTCGATTCCAACTTCCAGTCTACCAATTTGCTTTGGATCAACACCCTCCACCTCACATCGGAGACGTGATGTCTGTCACAGGTGCATCTGTCATTATATTAGCCTTGAGCCCTTGACAGACCGAAATCACATATCTTTACTGTCCAATGCTTATTCACAAGACAATTTGCACTTTTTAGATCTCGAGGAACCATCTTCGTGCGATGCATGAATGGACATCAACCCTCTTAGTACGCAGATAGAAAATAACAGTCAGTTAATAAACAATAGCCTGCAATACAAAACCCATCATCATAATTTTAAACATAAAAATAACCCACCTGCATATGTCACATAGCATCTTAAGTCTCCTCCGCCAGCTGAGCAGCTTCTTTTGACCACTTAAATGAATGAAATAGTAAAGTGATCCCATATCCATGTACTCAGTAACCATGGATAGATGTGGACGCTTTGTGCAAGCACAGAAAAACAATATAACTATAAGGAAAAGACATAAAAATAAAAAATAAAAAAAGAGAGAGAGACGACAAGATACCTTAGGATGGAAATTTCATTGCAGAAATCCTCCATGTTTTCAGCAGTCAAATCTTGCTCCATTCCAAATGACACCGAAAAAATTCTCCGAAGAATCCTAAAAATGGGCAGGAATTAAGCAGTAACAGTAAAATGACAAAAATAAATAAATGGCGTGAATGTTTTTATCCAGACTTGCAGGTGAATCTATTTTGGCTTCCTATGCATATCTATAGATAATGTTTCTTAGTGCTTTGAGAAAGAATTTGAAAGAACACTACACACACATATTTTCTTCAACCAGTAATAAATTTTTTTAAAAGTCTCATATTTGTTGTCTTTAGAACCCCATTTTAAGCACCTAGCCGTATGGTTGAAAGCGTATTCGCATTCATGAAATATAAATTATGGTAAATAAGCCACTCTTCTTAATGCTCTTCTGGTCCTTTTCCGGCTCTGTTAACATTTAAATATGTTCAAAAGTTAATGATATCTGTTATTCTTCAATCTTCATACCTACTGTAAGATATCTGTGCCGCTAATATTCTGTTGCCAAATGACGGAATTTTGTAGTGTGATCTTCAATAATGCTAGTTTCTTCCCTTTTCTTCCATCTGCACTCCAGAACTTTCTTCTCTCTGCTCGTTTTTTTTTTCCACAGATCTTTCTTTCTGACATCCAATCCAACTGGAAATTTCATTATAGGTAAGAATATAATAAAAAACAACGATTGGAATTTATGATTCGTATAAAAATCTGTGAAAGGAAATCAATAAATAATATAGAGGATGACTCAAATTAAAGAGAGAAAAAAACAATACATATGTACCTCCTTAACACTTTATGAGAAATAATCGGTATAGAGTCTTTCAACTTTATGTAACCAGAGAAATGCAACTGACACAACCTAGTATAAGGCACGTGTACTAAATTAACCATGTACCACACCCGCACTCTGCTTTAAGCACAAAAGCATAGCGCTCCAGCCACTCCACTCTGCTCTGTTCTGTCCAACGCCTACCATTCTCGAATATGTAAGAGATGTACACAACATGAACAAAAAGATGTTTTTGGGTCTCATATTTGGCGCTTCCAGAAATTCTCTTCTTCTTCTTCTTCAGTGTTCTACTCAACTTTAGTGAGGGGTAGAAGTTGTAGGGAGCCATCTTTATCTCTGTACAATGCTTCAACTCCTATTTTCTTCACCACACTTGCTTCAACTCTTAATGATGATCTAAACCGATCTGTGTAGAATCCTTCATAAACATCAGTTATTGGTGTAGCTTTGATGAGTTCTCCGGCTTTTATATCTTCATACCCATCATTGTAAAGATGATTAGCTGTAATGACATGTAAAATTGAAATTCCTTCCACTTCCAATTGGATCCCATAATAATTATACCATGTAAATCGGAAGGCTTTAGAATCATGCTTTTTTTCAATTCTGATGCTATAATGACAATAAAGTGGTGGGAGTAGTGGAGCCGGATTGAACACAACCAAAAAAACAAATCCATAAAATTCCAATGTATGATTCTTCAAATTGGATGATGGATTTTGAAATGATATTGACGATTTTTCTTTCTCACATCTAATCCAACCAGGAATTTCATTACAAGCAAGAACACCATTGGAATTCATGGAGCGTTTTAAAACCTGTGAAAGGAAATCAAACATATGTGACAATACTAAGAATTAATGGATAGAAATTACATAGCACTAAAATTTTGTCAATAATTAATATAATAGATGACTCAAATTGAATAGCGGGGAAAACATATGTACCTCAATGCTTTTTGAGAAATCGGTATGGGGAACACTTCCAAACACCATTGTCCTTATGGAATGAAGATTCTCCCAACCTTTAAACTCCTTCAACTTTTTGCAACCGACGAGATGCAAATAACGCAACCCCGTACAATTTGATAAGTTTGATACTTCTTCAATCAACTCACAATTTTCAACCCTAAGATCTTGAAGTTTTGGAGGAAGTTCTGGGAGAAATTTCAGGTTTTGGCAATCATCTAAGCAAATTTTAGTAACATTGGGAGGAAATTTTGGAAGCATTTTAAGGTTTTTGCAATTAGATAGAGTAATTCTATAAAGATCCAGAGGAAGTTCTGGGAGCATTTTAAGATCATTGCACCTATATAATCTAATTTTTCTAAGATTGGGAGGAAGTATTGGGAGAATTTTTAAGTTTTTCCAATCATTTAAACAAATTTCAGAAAGATTGGGAGGAAGGTCTGGAAGCATTTCAAAATTTTCACAACCACCTAAAAAAATCTCCCTAAGATTGGGAGGAAATTCTATGAGCATTTTAAGATTTTTGCAACTAGATAAATGTATACTCTTAAGATTGAGAGGAAGTTTTGGGAGCATTTCAAGGTTTTCACAATCATCTAAAGTAATATACTCAAGATTTGGAGGAAGTTTTGGAAGCATTTTAAGACTTTTGCAACTATCTAATAAAATACTCGTAAGGCTATGTGGAAGCTCTTGGATAATTTTTAGATTGTCACAATGGCACAATACGACCTCTTCAACAGTGTGAGGAAGTTGTTGGAGTACTTCTTGGTCCTTGCACAAATTCAAGCAAATTGATTTAAGGTTGAACAAATGAGACAGGTTGGAGAGCACCCCATAAGTACGGGTATTGTTAAGATTTAGATCTTGCAGTGACCGCAAATGGCTGACGTTCTTTGGAAGTTTCTTTAACTTTTCACAGCAACCAAAATTTAAAGAAACTAATTTCCCCAATTCTCCGATGGAAGAATGCACCTTTAACAAACTTGAGCACCACGCAAATGATAACTTACGGAGATTTTGACAGCCACTAAAGTTCGGAGTCCTTGTGAGATGTTTGCACCAAGAGAAATCCAAAGACTCGAGACAATGAAAATACTGTTTTGATCAATTCAATAAACAAGAAGCAACAGAAATTAAAAACATATATTGAATTATAATTTATTATCTTTAACTATTTTGCTATAACAATGAGTTATAAATAAAAATTAAATATTATCGAATTACCTTTAGAGGGGCTTTAAATTCTTTGATATTGCTATTCCCTATTTCCAAACTCACAAGCTTCTCAAAAAAACGACTTGATGGAATATTGATAGATTCCAAAGGGCAATGGTTCCATCGCAAACATCTAAGCACCTTGGAACTGGATAGATGTTTGAATTTTCCATCAAGATGGACTTCATCAATTTCAAGAATTCTTAAATTCTCCATGTTCTTAAATGCTTTTGTATTGTACTTCACATTTTTCATAGGAGAGTAGTTGAATACAATCACCTCAATCTTTCTTGTACCCTACACATAAAAAGCAAAGTTAGTTAAACAAACACATAGGCTATTTTGTGTGGTAAATAAATGACTATTTTAAGAAAACAACAATATAATGTATAAAAATCTTTAGAGGGTTTTAGGTAGCGAACTCTGATTTATATTCTTTAGATTAAATTCTACTAAATATACTTCGAGTTTAAGGTGTTACTAGCTTTAGTCCTTAACTTATATAAATCTACGATAATAAGTCCTCCAATTCTCTAAAACAACCAATAATATATAGTCCTATAAGTTTGAGATGCTACCAACTTTGGTCCTCAACTTACAAGCCTACCATAATGAGTTCCCCAACTTCTCTAAAGCTACTTAGTACGCTTGTAAGTTGAGAACCAAAGGTGGTAATGCCTCAAAACTCAAAGAACCTTTAGTGAAATTTACTCTATTCTTTATAAGAAAACGAAGGATAATTCGAACTTTCTTGAAATAAAATATTAAAATGTTAATGATCAAAGCCTTGTGCTATTTCAACTATTGATAATGTGTAACTTTTTTTTTTCGATGAGAAAAATTCGCAGTACCTATCCAAAAGCGTGCACAAAATAAACATAAAGTGAAGTACACAAAATTTAGAAAATCTAACACATTATGCATTGAGGCTTGGCAAATAATAGAAAATCATTAATTTGTGTCATGCTAATCCCATCAGAAATTATCAAGAAGATAATTTGTGGTAAATAAATAGTTATTATTATATTTTCATAAGAGGTAAAGCATCACTTCATTTTTTATATGAAATAGTAAAGTCAGTTGCTGTAAGATTTATGCATAATAATTGAGAACGAAACAAATTTAAAAATCATTACCTTTTCCTCTATAAGCACATCATGGATATCATAAGGACACCACAATCGACTACGCTCACTAGGATTGTTGGGTGACTCCGAACGAATAATTTCTCTTCCCATCTCTCGAATTAAGCTATGCATACTAACCCAATCCTCGTTACAATTTATCAAGCATTTGTCAACCAAGTCTTGAATTTCAATGTCTGAGAAATACCCCATGTTATCAATTTTCTCCTTAGAAACTCCATTTGATAAACAAACAAGATCAAGAAAAAGAGATTTTATATGATCATCTGGAAGCCCATCGTAACTAATCTTAAGTTTAGCTTGAATGTCATTATTAGGAATTCTTTTCAATTTTTCAAAAGCACTAATCCAATGCTTTTTCGAATTTTGACGCAGATAAGCCCCTAAAACTTCAAGAGCTAATGGAAGTCCCTCACAATAAGCAACTATGCCATCTAGAAGCTTATTATAATCTTCATTTTGCAACGCAGGCTCTTCAAATGCATGTAGGCTAAACAGCTGCAAAGACTCCTCATAGTTCAATACCTTAACTTCATAATGTTCGTCCACCTTCAACTCTTTAAAAACATGTGCCTCTCTTGTGGTTAAAATAAGTCTACTTCCTCCACCAAACCAATCTCGTCCTCCACATAATTTATTAAATTGATTTCTATGCTCCAAATTATCAAGGACAATAAGACACTTTCTTGCTTGAAGTCGCCTTTTCATCAACATGATTCCTTCGTCTATACTGCCAATGTCAATCTCCTCATTAAAAAGATTCTTAAAAAGCTGTTTTTGTATAGTTTTTATCTGATTGTCTTGTTGTCCTGAAGTTGTTGAATCTATCTCTATAAAGCAGCTCCTTTCAAAATATACAAAAAGCCTGTTATAGACCGCTTTTGCAAGAGTTGTCTTCCCAATACCTCCCATACCATGTAACGCAATCATACGGACACCATCATGAGATTCCCCGAGCAATAACTGGATCACATGCTCAACACGATAATCAAGTCCTACCGTGTTGGGCACAAACATCGGTACTTGTCTTACTATCAACCGAACCTCCTTGATTATTGCATTGATAAAGTTCGATTCATATCTTCAATATTCAAAAAGAAAACAAAAATATAATGAAGAAATTTGTGATTGAATACATAAGGAGGCTCAAAATGTGAAGTATATTATGTATTTTCAACATAGAATATAATGTCATTATAAGATATTGAAATACTTCTTTTTTTTCCTACCCTTAACTATTTATGATTTTGTAAAGAGATAACATATGAATTCAGGTTAAAGAAATAAAAGAGAACCCTCTCAAATAAATCAAATGCGCAATAGCACATGATTGCTCACAAAAATTAAGAATTATTCAAAGAAAATAATGAGAAAGTAATACCATACCCGTTGGTAATGCCTTGCAAATCCCATCCTGACATATCTGCAACTTTAGTCAGAGCATCTCTCCAATTTTGTACTTTATCACCTTTCCCAAAACGTTCTTCGTGCTTTGCAAAAGCCAAGCCATAGTTCCCACTTTGTTTACGCACTTGAGAAGGATCAACATCGTAAAAAATGGGAAAAACTATTTGTTTTCCCTTCTCCTTACACTCCACAATTTGCAAAACTTCATCAAGGCACCACCTAGAGGATGCATAGTCTTTTGAGAAGACTATCATAGAGATTTTTGAATTTTGAATTGCTCTAGTGAGCTCAGGAGCAAGATATTCACCCTTTCTGAGTTCTTCATAATCTCTAAATGTACGGATTCCAGTTTGATACAGCGCAGAGTAAAGATGATCAGTGAAAGTTTTGCGTGTATCCTCACCTCTGAAGCTCAAGAACACATCGTATTCCCAAGCAAAAGATTCATGAGCGATTGGGGGTGTTGCCATCGATGGACACAAAACTGAGCAAAACAAGGAATTGAAAGCTATAAAAATTAGAGTGCAGATGAATAGCTGTGAAATTGAAGACTTGAATTTATAGAGAGAAATTGTAAAGTAGATGAGAAATGACAAAAGGAAAGAGGAATGAAAATGCTTATCATTTACGTGGAAATTTCCTGGGTTGAAAAGTCCAATTGGCTCATATAATTTTTTTTTTAAATAAAATAAAATAAAAAATCATCACCTCTTCGGCTCTTCTTCTACTTTGTCCGGCGGCGTCTGCTCCTCTTCTCCATCGCGGTCTTCTCTCCTCTCTCCTGTTGTTGCCATCGCCCTCTTTCCCTTCCCTTCCGCCACCGCCCCTTCTCCGGCTCTCCTCCACCATCTCCAGAAAAGCTTCATTCTCAAAAATAAAAATAATATTTATATCCGTTGTGGAGTTGGATTTTGGAATATTTTGGTGGGGTTTGCAGCTTTGCCACCCACGTTTTGTTCTTCTTTTTAAAGTTTGAACCCCAACTATAAAGCCCCATATCCCGACTCAATAGAATATTTAAAATGATGTAAATTATGATAATTCAACTTAAAATGAATTAGAGGTTAAACATTTACTTGCTGCGTATAATGAACCCCTTTCATTTTAAAAGATTGCTCTCATATTACGAGACTCAATCTTTGATCATTTTTTTTAACTTTCATCTTTATGAGGGGTCGTTTGGTTCATGGAATGTAGATTACCTTAGGGAATGTTAGATTGCTGGGAATGTTAGATTCCTGTATTTGGTTAAAATTGGGGTATGTAATATAATCATGTTTGGTTTAGGGTTATCTTTTATATACACTATAATATCCTTAACATATTTTCATATATTTTAATAAATTTAAAAATTAAAATAAATAAATAAGATAACGGTATCATATATAATTACATGATTTTAAAATATTAACTAAAATCTTAAACTTGAGAAACAAAATTATTTTATATGCTAACATAACATAATAAAAATAAAAATATATATAATTACAAAAATAATTATATATATATATATATATATATATATATATATATATATAATAAACTAACATAACCAAAGCTACCTTACATTACCTAAGATTTTGAAGGGAATCACATTCCCTTCAAAATCCTATGTGGAAGGAATGTGACATTCCTTGAGAATGTTAGATTCCCTAAGATAATATGAACCAAACACCAGAATGTGAGCTTTGAAATGTCACATTCTCTTGATTATGTTATATAACCTGAACCAAACGACCCCTGACAATCAAGCTGCTCATGAGTGCGTTTGTTCTTGATTTGCAGATGGGTTGCCATCTTTGACACCCACTTTAGTTTTGTTTATTTGTCTTGTTGTTTGATACGCAATAAAGGAAAGAAATAATTGGTGGTTTAATTAGGGGATGGTCTACAAGGAATGAATATATGTAATTAGAGGATAATTGACTAAATATTAGTATAAGGAAATTATGTATATTAGAATATATTATTACATTGTATAGTTAGAATAATTGTAGTAACTTAATTATTATATGTGTTAGTAATTTAGTATAAATAGGTCCATTGTATATGAATACGGGGAACCATTCAGAGGAAATATATTGTCATTCTACTATTCTAGTCTATTCTTCTTGGAGCCCACACACGCTCGAAGTGTGAAATTGGAGTTTGTCGTAGAAGAAGAATAGACTAGAATAGTAGAATAACAATATATTTCCTCTGAATGATTCCCCGTATTCATATACAATGGACCTATTTATACTAAATTACTAACACATATAATAATTAAGTTACTACAATTATTCTAACTATACAATGTAATAATATATTCTAATATACATAATTTCCTTATACTAATATTTAGTCAATTATCCTCTAATTACATATATTCATTCCTTGTAGACCATCCCCTAATTAAACCACCAATTATTTCTTTCCTTTGTTGCGTATCATTGTTCTAGACAAACAAGTAGACTTTTAAAATTCCAATAGGTTTTTAAAATCATATAAAAAGAAGTATTTTGTATCTGGCATGAAACAGTATTGTACAAATTTTTACACTACAACCCATGAGTCAACTAATTCATGTGTACGGGGTATAAATAATTTTATTATCACATCAATGAATTTTAAAAAAAATTAATTATATACAAAGAAAATGACACTTGTTTCTTCTGTGTTGTTTACTTATAGCATATTTTTCCCCTGTATTTTTTATATAACCACTTTATCTCCTCAATTGTTTTTAAAGTGACTATTTTCCCTCTCTCCATTAAATAAGTGTTAGTGTGTTAAATATGAGGATAAAAATGACATTTCACTTATTATTATTGTTATTATTATTATTATGATGATTATTATTATTATATAATGGAAGGGTCGTTTTTTTTTTTTGAGACAGAAATAGAACATTACCTTTTGGGCAATCTGGGATCGCTTGTGAACTTCACGAGCCTCCTTCTTGCGTTTGCGTTTGAAGTGATCATGGCGGTAGCCATTTCTCTTCATGTGCATGTGATCTCCCTGCGGCATGTTTGTCGACGACCAAAATCCTGGAAATTTTCATATTTAACAGCCATTTTAACAGCTATTGTTGTTATTATTATTATTATTATTATTATTATTATTATTATTATTATTATTATTATTATTATTATTATTATTGCAATAATAATAATGACTGAAATGACATTTTTACCATCATATTTAACAGCCCTAACACTTATTTAACGAAGAGTGGGAAAATAGTCACTTCAAAAACAATTTAGGGGGATAACATGGTTACATAAACAACACAGGGGTAAAATATGCTATAAGTAAACAACACAGTGGAAAAGTGTCATTTTCCCTTATATATACAAGAATTGAAATATCTGAACAGCATCTTAATACAATACAGAAATTGTTAATTGTATAATAGGTACAAAATATGTTAATTGAGAATATTGTCCATGATATAACAATTGTGATTAGAAGTATTGTCCCTAGCCCAATTCATTTGCATGAAGAGGCATGCCATAAGCCCAAATCAAGATAGTCTGATTATCACCAAACTCACATATGATCCAAATCTAGAATTAGAAAATTCAAAGCCTCACTAAGAAAAAAAAAAAAAAAAAAAAAGCCAAGTAAATATAGTATAATTCTCGTACTAAAATGTCATGAATTTACTTTATATCAATATTTTTTCCAAAGCTTCATCACAAACCTCTTATACTTCGATAGTAATCAATGCTATTCACTATATATTTCAATGTTTCATTATCACATCCTTAACACAAATACCTCTTATATGGGTCATTTTGAGCTTATAATGACTCTCTTCGTGTTGTGAAGAGGCTGAATGGCTACGCCATTTTTTCGAGGATATTATTGTACCTCCAATACGTGTGCATTGCGATAGTCAAACCACAATTGGAAGGGTACAAAGTAACATATATAATGGTAAGTCTAAACGTATACGTCGTAGACATAATACATTAATACTATTAAACAACTTCTCATAATGGGTGTTATCTCTGTTGACTAAGTAAAGTCAATGAATAATATAGCAGATCCGCTAACCAAAGGGTTTAGCAAAGAGGTTCGTAGAGAAGTTAACACGAAGAATGAGTCTAAAGCCCTTGGAATAAAAGTTATGGATACCCAACCTAGCTAGTACCTAGATTCAATGGGACAACTAAATTATAAAACGAAACATATCATTGTGGAAGTCTCAAAACCCCTAATATGTTGCCATTCCACATACCACTATAATCCCAATTGACATTCAAAGCAAAAGCGCCCCCTTACAGGACTCTTTAAGTAATCTGCTTCAACTTAAAATCGAAGTTCCTCATCGAAAATGCATAGCCTTGGCGAAAACATCAAGATCCTCCAAATTTAGAAGTTTCTTTAATTAGATACTGCAAATAGTAAAAATGTAAGAATGATTTCTCTTGAATTATCTTGATGAGGTCAGTTCAAACGGGTCACGTCTAGATGATCTCGATTGTACTCGTATATTCCATATCAAAGGTCATGGATGATAATGGGAAGACTTTATCTTTGTGAACTCTAATAAGTTATTTTCTCACCAGGAACTTACAAAAGATTTTTCACTTTTTGAGGGAGGAGAGTAAATGAACATACTTCCTTGCAAATCTTTGGGTAGATAAGTAATTAGGATACTTCAATACTCTTCCAACAACATTAGATTTTTTTTTTTTTTTTTTATTTTTTTTTTGGTTCAATAGGAGGGGAGGGGAGGGGGTGTGGACAAATCCCAGCAGCTCACATGCTTTAGACTCTAACTTATATGAGCTTGATAGCACCAATGTAATCTTCATTAACTGTCCTCCTAACCTCGATCAGGGATAGTAAGCTCATTCAGTCGTTGTCAACCTGGAATGCTAAGTTGGCAAGCATATCGGACACAATATTTTGTTCATGAAAGATGTGTACCATTGAGCTGCCCCCACTATGTGCATCTAATTTCTATTGTTATCTACAACATTAGTGATCAATCTTGAGGGGATTCTCATTCCAGTAAGCAACTCTATCGCTTCTGCTTTGCAAAGTCACTTGAACCTCAATCAATCCAAACCCTCAGCTCCATGCCCGTCGCACACCTTTTATGATGGGTTAGCACTCCGCTTCTAGACTATTGTTTGCTTAGATTCTGCAAGTGAAGCATGCCTGCCAATTTCCCAAATCGCGAATAGCTCCCATTGACATTCAGAGCAAAAGCGCCTCCTTGGGGCTCTCTAAGTAAGGTTCTTCAACTCAAAACCAAAGCTTCATCCTCCAAAACGCAAGAACTTGGCGAAAGCATCAAAGACCTCTAGATTAAAAATGTATATATATATTAAGAAAATGGGATCATCCTAAGTCAAAATATGTGCAGACTAGAGACGAGGCACAATCTTAGAAGATTCAGACGAAATTCAGACACAAAAACAAAGTAAGATCGCAGGTTATGCCTAATCTAAGAAGGACAAGAGTCAAAGGGGTGCTTTACTACTACTTACTTTACTAATAAAACCCCCAAAATCATTAACCTGGGCGAACCCGGCCACCGATTCTCTGAA